AATAATATAGATACAATTTATTGCAATAAAAGCGAAAACGCTGACGGGGATTTACCCGCAAGGGCAGGGTCGAAATCGGACTTCGGTTTCGTCGAGATGCTCGATGCAGAGCGGACACACGGGATCCTCCTCCTCCTCCTCCTCTTCCTCTTCCTCCTCCTCCTCCTCCTGTGCCTTCCCGTCTTCCAACAGTTCCTTCCAGTTCTCCCTCTCATGCCGTCCGTCCCTGTGAATCCAGTCGCGATCAACCCCGACCATTCCACGCCGTACGATGATGATATCCGGGACATAGAAGCTCCGGGTTTCGCGGCGGCTGGTACGGTGACCCGTTTAGGGCCGAAGACTTTGGACATGGTGTAGAGTGTGCATGAATAGGATGCTAACGAGCAGTCAATTCTCTAGACGACTCAAAAGCCGGAAACTTTGGGCATGGACTTGAGCATGCATGGACAGGGTTGGAAGTGGTCGAGTGCCAGCCTGGGGGTAAGAAAGAGGTAACGGTCAGTTGTATTATCAGGTAATATAATGAAAATCAGGAAGCTGCGGTGGTCAGAAGGATGTTATTCTTCAACTCTCTTAGCAAACTTGGAAACTCATGGACAGCTAGGAGGTAGCGGAAAAGCTTTCAGCTAGTAAGGAGTTGCGAAGTAAATGCAGCCTCGAAACATAGAATGTGGATGAAAGCAGAGACGGGTTACAGGCCAAGGACGAATGGGAGCTCGTGTATGCGGAATGACGGAACCTGAGGATGCTAATAACGTGGAAACGTGATAGGCTTTGCGTCAAGAAGCACGAAAGTGCTCTTGATATGCTTTTCCACGTCGGCAGCCTGGCAGGCCAATCGAATAAAAAGCTAGTACCTTTAATACACGCCACGAAATTCACGAGTCTAAGGTATGAAATGCACGTGGTAAAGCCCCAGCCAAGAATGTAACCAATGGGGTGACGACAGGCCAACCCGCTGCGAGGACATGGGGCCCCTGTGATTGGCGTTCTGAAAGACCGTTGGAGCCTCGATGCCTTTGTTTCCTCAGCACTAGTACTGACACCAATGCAATGTGCAAGATACTAACAGAAGGTCAACTGCAGTAGTAATGGTGAGATGTTGCGGCTGTGGTGTTGTGAATTGAACTAGGGACAGAGGTGGGAGCCAGCAGTCTATTTCCGTTTATTACTGCGGTTAAGTACGCTGGTGTGCATTCTAGAGCGGTGATTCTGCTTGACCGCTTTCAACCGCGTTGTTCACGAACCTGAACAATGAACATATCAACTGTGACCATACAAGCTATGGCCCGCCCTTATCACAGGATGTTCCGCGCATTCGTCCGCTGATGGTACGTTGCGGTTCTGGACGTTATTGCACGGTAGAACGCGGTTACAGTAAGTTACTGCTTTTGACCGTAATGCACCAGACAGAACCGTGCAGCTTTCAAATCAAATGAGTGGGGGAGGATAGCCCCTACCGCATCACCCACCACGACCACCACACAGCCTCCCTCAACCGTTTGGCTCCGCCGTACCGCCAGCACCACCCTTGCGACGCCCCGCAAAAACCAACCTCAAGGTTGTGTTGCGTGACGGAAATTGTCCGCCCATCAAATCTAGCGGAGGTTCAGCCAATCAGCCCTCTGTCTGCTCCGCCCTCGTGTATTTGACGGCATTATCAAGTGTCCCTCTGACACCCTCAAGCTTGGAGATTGGAGTGGGGGAATGAGTGATGGAGAACAGTTGTGGACTCATGGTTGGGGCAGTCCTCGGATCGCTGGCTCTTACGATTGGCAAACGACGACTCTGACGAAATCGCTGACATCGCAGGCGAAGAATAATGTGGAGTTGCAGCATGCAGTGATTGGCCGCGATCGGACGCGTCACCATCAATGGATGAGCCAGCGCAAGTTCAGAAGCCAATCGGGTGAAGTGGGAACCACAACGAATGGCACGGAGCACCAGATCACTGGGAGTGTATTATGAAGGTGGTGCAAAACTACATTCATAAATGCTTACACATTCCTTTGGTTTGTTATGAGTTGTAAAAGGAGTGCGCAGGTAAACGAATAACGAGGCTGTGATTCAACCAACTGAGAATACAATGAATGTGCAGACTAATGTAGGGCTATCCTAGCGGGGGAAGAACTCGGACGAGCGCGGTTTGGAGCAGGTTTGGCGATGGGAAATGCCGAAGGCGACGCGAGGAGCCTCGGCAGCGTTGAAATCGGCCGAACATGCAAAATCCGAAAATCGGGTTGTATGCGAAGCAGTCAACCCCGATAAGGAATTCGGAAAAATTCCTTACATGGTTCAAGGCAGAAAACCAAGGCAGAAAACCAAAGCCTTGTGTCCCATCAGATATGTGAGATGTTTCTTGTGTTTTTATGAAAGTGCATGATCAGCTTAAAGACAGGGTCTCATGTACGGATTGGCTGTGCAACTGCAAAGCACTTGGGTGAAAAGTGGGTTCTTTGGCGAGTCTTAATTTGACAAAACTTTGGTCCCATAATTGTGAACCAATCAGACAGGCGCTTTTTCCATCGACTGCAAAACACTTGGTCTACTTAAGACCCTGCCTTTAAGTTTTACAGCTAACGCTGAAAGTTCAGCCTAAAAAACTTTGAGTTGTCTGATTTTTCAGCCTAAAGTTTTGGGGCCACTCTGACTCGGAGAGTTTATAACAGGGCTGCACGCTGATCGATCAGCGTGCCTCAAAACGAATCTAGGGGTCTGGTCCCAACCAAGAGAGCACAGCTGTAGGAAAACTGCAACATAACACTACACATGCATATGACCTACAAAATTTAACGTGCAACTCATACTGCAATAGAGATATACATAAGATCCGACCAACAACACTCTATGCACATGCCACTACCTACCGTACTATCCTCTACCACACACACACCATTAGGTGCATGTTAGAAATTCTTTACAGCTCAATACACCCCTCCAACATGTACATCATCACTCCCCGACTCCATCATCATCACCCTTCCCACTCCCTCACTCCCTCAGACTTCACACTCCTGCCTAGTCTACACTTGTCATCTCCTTCACTTCCCCACTCCCTCACATTCCTTCACACCTCACACATCTGGTCCGCTGCCAAACATGTCCACCATCCCTCGGAACACCTGCGCCGACAGCTCACTCGCCTCCACCAGTTCACCGTCCACATTCCAAAAGCCCTGCTCCCCCATGGCCTTGAATGTGAACGCTGGGGTCTGTAGGTGGGGAAGGGGAGGAAAATCAGGGTGGAGGGGAGAGGGGAGGGAGGGATGGTGATAAGGGGAAGTATTAAGCCGACAGCTCACTCGCCTCCACCAGTTCGCCGCTCACATTCCAAAACCTTGTTCCCCTGTGGCTTTGAACGTAAACGCTGGGGGGTCTGGGAGAAGGGGAGTGGATTTGGGACGATGGGGAGCACTAAGCCGCCAGCTCACTCGCCTCCACCAGTTGGCCATCCACATTCCAAAAGCCCTGTTCCCCCATGTCTTTGAACGTGAATGCTGGGGTCTGGGAGAGGGGGGGTGGGGGACAGAGGGTAGGTGAGGAGAGGGTTGGGGGGATAAAGCTGCGCTGGCAGCCTACTCGCCTCCACCAGTTGACTTTTGAGTCGACTCAAAAGTCACCTCGTAACAATGGCCCACGACACATTTTCTGCAGGGAGAGCAATCATCGCTGACAGCCCACTCGCCTCCACCAGTTTCCCATCCACATTCCAAAAGCCCTGCTCCCCCATGGCTTTGAACGTGAATGCTGGGGTCTGGGATTTGCGGAGGGGGAGGGAGTATGGGAGAAGAGTGGGGATGACGGAGTAGAGAGAGTGTGGGAAACAACTGAGATGGGTTGAGATGGGTTGAGATGGTGAGAGATGGTGAGAGATGGCGTGAGAAGTTTGGGAATCTGTTCACCTGATATACCTACCTGACTGAGTGTGGCTTTGCTCACTGCAAACATCCGTCTGTGAGGATAGGTAGGATGGAAAATGGTGTGGGATGGTGTGAAACGGTGCACAGCGGTGGAGAAAGTGAGAATCGAACCCACCTTGTGGTGCTGGATGAAAGGGGCGATTGAGGGAATCTGCGCCCTTGATGGCCAGGCATAGCGAGAGCTGAGGAATGGTGTGATTCGGTGTGAAGCGGTGTGAGGAGATGCGATATCGTGTAAGTGGGTGTGATTCGGTGTGAAGCGGTGCTGTGAGTGACACACCTTGTGGTGCTGGACGAAGTGGAAGTTGAGGGGATCTGCTCCCTTGATGGCCAGACACAGCAGCTGCCTGCGAGTGGATGGATAGATGGACCGACATATATATACATGGTATATGTATTGAGATCTTATAACAGATGGATTCACAGTTTGAAATCTCCAAAGAGTGAATCTGCGTCACAGTGAGACATCTTTGCTGTCACAAATACTCTTAAAGAAAATGAGTGGAAAAAAAAAAAAAAAAAAAAGGAAGAAAGAACGCACTCACTGGAGGTATTCTGTGCGTGAGCACTCGCGGATCATGATAAGGTTCAGATTCCCATCCGTTGGGTGGGTGTGTGTGAAGAGATTGCGGCACGGGAACGAGTTTTGAGTCGACTCAAAACTCGACTTATCACACACATCCGTTGGGTGGGCGTGTGTGAAGAGATTGTGGTACGCGAACGACAGGAGTGGTGACTACTGGAGGTAAAAGCTACTCACTGGAGGTATTCGGCCCGCGAGCACTCGCGAATCATAATGAGATTCAGATTCCCATCTGCCAGGTGGGCGTGTGCCGCGACGCCATCTGGCGCCTTGTCATTGCGGCACGAGATCACTGCGCCGCCCACGCTGTGAAACCGGCCTCTCACGGTGCGCCAGCCTGGCGTCGCCTCGTCCCACGTCGGCAGATGCGGCGAATCCGGCGCTGCCACGTCAGCATCAGCAGCTTCTAGGGGAGGAGGTGAGGGGAGCTTGTGCTTATCGGCTTCTGTGGCTGTAGCAGCAGCAGCGTCGGGAGCGGCAGGAGGAGGCTGGTAGGAAGGTGAAACTGCAGCAGCAGCATCAGCAGCAGCTTCGGCATCAGCTAAATCAACAGCAGCAGAATCACCAGCAGTGCGGTTGAGAGGGGTGAGAAGGGTGGCCAGTCCCACAGCTGACTGGGAGGGGCCTATGGCCTCGAATCCCAAGGCTGATCGTGCCAGCAGCGAGAGATCCTGGCCGTTGGCACACACCGAGCATCCAACGGTGCAGATCTCCGGACGGGCAGTGGTGCTGATGGAATGGGAGCAGGGATGAGTGAAGGGAGGATGCAAGGGGGAGAGCGAGACAGGAAAGAGGAAGCAATAGGTATGTGATATCAAGGATAGAAAAACGGTGGGATTTAGAGACATCGCACAAAAGAAAAATGGTGGGAATGTTAGGTTCTGTGAGAGGAGAAGAGACGGAGGAGGAGAGGAGCGGGAGTGGAAAGCGAGAGGGGAAGAGGGGAAGGTGAGGCAGCGGCATGGGGTATGGTTGGGGCGTCACAGCCAGGAGGAGTTTTCAGGCGTCTCAAAAGGGAGGGGAGGGGAGGGGAAGGGGGAAGGGTAGGGTAGAAGCAGGAGCATGAAGGGGTGATGTGGCAGTGTTACCTTCTTTTTTGAGGCGCCTCAATGAGGTCGTTTTTGAGGTGGTTTTTTAGGCGCCTCAAAAACGACCTCAATGGAGGGGAAGGGGGAAGGGTAAGGAAGAAGCAGGAGCATGAAGGGGTGATGTGGCAGCTATGTTAAGAAAGACGCAGCCAGGACGCTGCGTCCTGCGTCTGGACGCAGCGTCCGGACGCTAGGACGCAGGACGCGCGTCCAGACGCAGGACGCACGCCCAAATTTTTTTCGGGCAGCCCGAAAAAAAAAATTTTACCCGCGATTTCGACATTCGCGATTTCGGCGCGAATGTCGAAATCGCGAAATTTCGACTCCCAAAGCCAAATTCGACATTGTAAACCAGCCCCCCCAACATTTCAAAACAAGGCATGCAAATTGCAAATTCACTCACACCTCTCAACCACTTCACATCTACAAAACCCAACTTTTGTGGCCCACCACCACCACCACCAAGCCCATTTAGCAAACCAACTAGGGTTGGTTTCTCATTTCCCTTCCCAACCAATTCTCTTTCGAAAACCCTTTGAGGTTTTAGATTGGCTAGCTACCTAAGTTCCGTTATGGCTTCCTCGAGCGTTCCTTCTTCTTCCACCGCGTCTAAGAGAGGGAGGATGATGGGGATGTTTGATGTGCTGGTTGACTAGATGCAGTGCAATGGTAGATTAGTAGTCTTACCGATGGTCGTAAATGCTTGGATTAAACTTAATGTGTGTGAGACCTTGTGCCATGCGTGACGCGTGACTCACCTTAGTAAAAAATGTTGGGAGTAAAATTTGAGGTTGTGGAAAAATTTGCTTTGAAAACTGTGGTACGTCTCTCCCCCCCCCCTCTGCCAAGCCCTATACACTTTTTTTTGGCCTGCCCGGGGTTTTTTTTTGCCCTGCCCGAGATTGCGTCTTGGGGTGCGTCTTACAGGTCCAGGTGACGCGTCCTGCGTCTGGACGCATGCGTCTGGACGCAATCGTCCAGGACGCAGGACGCGTCTTTCGACACATAGTGTGGCAGCGTTACCTGCTTCTGTGCATGGACGGCTGATCTGGCTCGGGCACATGGAAGAATGACACCTCTGCTTCATACGACCTGGTTGGGGGGGTGGAAAAGGGGGAGAGGGGCAGGAGCATGAAGGTGTGAAAAGGCAGTGAGTTGAGTTACCCTCGTCTGTTCATTGACGGTTGGTCTGGCTCGGGCACGTGGAAGAATGACACCTCTGCTTCGTACGACCTGGTTGGGAGGAGGAGGAGAGTGCAGAGTAGGAGATAATTTGGAGGAAGAGGTGAGGGGAAAGGGGGTGAATGAGGGAGATGAGGGGCATGTGAGGGAGAGGGCAAAATTTCACGATTTTGAGTAGTGATACACCCCCCCCCCCCCCCCCCTCCTTTTCGCCCACCTGAGTTTCCCACCCACCTGTGGCGCACGTATGTCATGAGAACCCCGCATAGTCGTCGTATCTAGCAGGCCCAATCCCATCCCCAACTCTGCTGCATGTGTAAGTTTCTGAACTTCCATACACACCCACGCACCTGTGGCGCACGTATGTCATGAGAACCCCGCATAGTCGTCGTATCTAGCAGGCCCCATCCACCTTTGCCAACCCCGCCCTTCACATTGATCCCCCCACTCGCACTCATCTGTCACACACACCTGTCATACCCACCCACCTGTGCCACCCACCTGTGGCGCATGTATGTCATGAACCCCGCATAGTCGTAACGAGCGGGGCCCATCCACCTCGGCGCGAATCCATGCATCGGAGGACCAAACCTGTATGCATCTGCTTACCCACACCCACCCACTTGTGCCTGCCACCCACCTGTGGCGCATGTAGGTCATGAACCCCGCATAGTCGTAACGGACGGGTCCAACCCAACTGTGGCACATGCATATGACCCCCCACATCACATTGATCCCACCACACCCATCCACCTGTGGCACATGTAAGTCATGAACCCCGCATAGTCGTATCTGGCCAGACCCATACACCTGAGAGTGCCCCACTGTGCAAATGCACCTGAACGCGACTCCATGCATCTGATGCTTTCCCCACACCCATAAGTCTCACCCACCCACCTGTGGCGCATGTAAGTCATGAACCCCGCATAGTCGTAACGAGCGGGCCCCATCCACCTCAGTGCCTCACTCTCCTTGGTCACTGCACCATAGAAGCCGTAGCTGCAAGGTGAGGGGGAGGGAAGAGGGGGAGAGGGGGAGAGGGGGAGAGGGGGAGAGGGGGAGAGGGGGAGAGGGGGAGGGGAGGGGGGGAACAAGAGGGGGACTCGCGCGTGAGAGCCCAGTGGCACAGACATAGGCGGATCCCATCCACCTCAGTGCCTCACTCTCCTTGGTCGCTGCACCATAGAAACCGTAGCTGGGGGGAGGGGGAGGTTGGGAGAAAGGGGGAGGGGAGTGGGTGGAAAGTCGGAAAACTTGGTCAACGAAGGGGGGAGGGGGAGTTGACGGAAGGGAAGAGGGGAAGTGGAAGAGGGGCAGGGGTAAGAGAAGGAAGGAACGAATGTAGAAAGGTGGGACAGGGTAATGTTGTTACTTGTTTTGTGAGTTTGTGTTTTACGGGTGTACGCATCAAGGGACAGGGTAATTTACCCGAAGAATGACGCAGCGTATCGGACATCACACTCCATCTGCTGCTCCCCGTCCTCCTTCCTGGAACCTTCCGCTGCTGCTCCCGTTGATGCATATATCCCTCTTCTCTCCTCCCCTGCTCCTGCTCCTCCTCTTTCCACTGATTTTGCTGGTTGTGCTGACTCAGCAATCTCGGCTGCTGAGTCAGCGCCAACCTGGAGCCGAGTCATCGACGATTCGGATAAGGCAGAGGAGGAAGAGGAGCGGAGGGAGGAGGGGAAGCGGGGACAGAAGAGGAGGAGAAATCGGGGGAGGAGGAGAGGGGAGATGCCGAAGCTAGGACGGCAGCTTGGTCCGAGGCCAAAACTGTAGGTTCGGGTGGGTGGTTCGGCGAGAATGTAGGCTCGGAAGGGGTGAGTGGTGGTTGGCATGAAGGGGCGGCAGGAGGGTTGGAGGAGGGTGGGGAGGGGGAGGAGGGGATGGAGGAGGGGGGAGGAAGAGGAGGAGGCGGCGGGTTTCCAGGAAGTTACCCGCACCACATCCATAGGAGTGCGTCGGCCAATCACAACGTTCAGTGCTGACGTGGCAGGGTCACGGGAACCAACAAGGCTGCAGGAGGGGAAGACAAGGGTGCAGTGCGGTGACAAGGGGTACAGTGCAGTGACAAGGGGCGCAGTGCAGTGACAAGGGGAGAGCGACGATGATTGGAAGGGCATATTGGAAGGGGAGAGGGTTTTAGAGGGCAAAAGAGGTCTCTGTATGCCCATATGCCCCATATGCCCCATATGCCCATATGCCCCATATGCCCCATATGCCCCATATGCCCCCCATATGCCCCATATGCCCCCCATATGCCCCATATGCCCCGCTCCCCTCCCTCTCCACCCTCCACCTCGTTGTCCCCGTCAATCCCCCTCCCCCACCTCGTGAGTCTAGATTCAGACCCACTTCCCCCCTCCTCACCTCATGGCAATGCAGTCTGTCGACCCAGCAGGAATGATCCCAATTCTCAGCCGCCTAGGCAGACACAACTCCACTCATTGTCTCACCTGAATTGATCAACGCAGGAGGATGGGGCTGTGTCTCCCCTCTCTCCCCTCCTCGCCTCCCCCCCCCCCCCCCCCCCCCCCCCCCCCCCCACCCCCCCCCCCCCCCCCCCCCCCCCCCCCCCCCCCCCCCCCCCCCCCCCCCCCCCCTCCTCACCTCATGGCAATGCAGTCCGTCGATCCAGCAGGAATGATCCCAATTCGTAGCCTCCTAGGCAGACACAACTCCACTCCGCCATCCTCCCCACTTCCCCTTCCTCCCACTCCTCCACTCCCTTTCCCCATTCCCCCATTCCTCCCCTCTCCTCCCCTTCCCCCCCCTCCTCCTCCTCCCCTCCTCCCCTTCCCGCACCGTCCCCCAGTCACTCAAAAACGTCGCGTTCCTGACTCCCGGACCAAAGCTGCTTCGGCTGAAGCTGCGCCGAGCCTGCTGCGCCTTGGGTGTTTCGTAAAATCCATTCGCCCCGCTGCCCGCCTCCTTAGGAGTAGGGAAATAATATCCACCCGAGCCGCCACTACCAGGCTTAGGAGTCTCATAGTACGATCCGGCCTTAGGAGTGGCATAGTAGCCTTTAGGAGTGTCATACCCATACCCAGCAGGAGTATTTAATCCAGCAGGGGTATTAAGGCCATCGTGGAAATTAAAGACACCGGGAATTTCTAAACCGGGAGTGTTTAATCCTGCAGAAATGTCCAAACCCCTGCCGCCTCCTCTCGGCAAATCATCACCGTCCACCTCAGTGTGCCGCCTGCCATTTTGTCCACATGTGTCTGTGCCCTTTTCATCATTGCGTCGCCAGTTGTTCAGATTCAACCCGGCAGCAGTCAACCACCCCTTGCTCCCCACTTTCTTCCTCCCCTCCCTCTCCCCCTCATCCCCCTCATCCTCCTCCCCCTCCTCCCCACTCCCCTCCCCCACTCCTCCCCCTCCCACTCCACCTGCCTGTCCTGCATAGCCCATGTCCAGGTTCACTGCATCTGCCGCCTCCAGTTCGCTCTCCTGCCTGCAGAACCTGCCGAGCGTCAGCTTTCTCTCCAAACCTGGAGCGCAGGCTCGGTCCGAGCCGGCAGCACCAACACCAGCACCAGCTGCAGCAGAAGCATCAGCATAAGCAGCGTCGCCATCAGTAACAACCACAACCTCCTGGGCTGTTTCACCTGCCTTCACTTCCCCCTCTTCCCCGTCCTCTTCCTCCTCTTCTTTCTCTGCGGTCGTAGCACCCTGCCACGCTGGCAGTTTTTCCAGATCGTTTCCTGATCCCAAATCAGCTCCTAAACCACCTCCTAATCTTAAATTCCCTGCACAAACTCCATTGCCTTTAACGAACCTAGCTCCATCCGAACCACACTCCTCCGTCCCTACGCACCCGAACGTGGCAACCACTGCCTTCCTCTCCCCGCTTCCGCTCCTCCCCCCGTCCGCGCATCTGCTGGTACCGCGAGGGGCGGCAGTGGAGGGCGGCGGGAGGCGCAGGCGCGCGGGGCGCACGCACGGGAAGGCGCGATGGCGGCGCCTCGCCAGGCCGTTGAGCGCCTCGTTGAACAGCCCGTCGCCGCCCTGAAGAAGGGAATGGAGTTGGGATGGGTTTTGAGGGGTGCAACAAGGCCTCTGCGCCTCGCCAGCCCGTTGAGCGCCTCGTTGAACAGCCCGTCGCACCATGACAAAGGGGAAAAGGGGTGGGGTGTGGGGAAGGGAGGAGTGCGGAGTTGGGATGGGTTGCGAGGGGTGCAACACAGCGTCAGTACTTGCCAGCCCGTTGAGAGCCTCGTTTAACAGCCCGTCGCCACCCTGGTGTGGGGGGAAAGAAGGGAAGGGAGAATGGAATGGAGTTGGGATGGGCTGGGATCGGTTGGAAGTGGTACAACACAGCTTCGGTGCTTCGCCAGCCTGCTGAGCGCGTCGTTGAACAGCCCGTCGCCGCCCTAACAGGTGTGGGAGAGAAGCGAAAGGGAGGGAGGGGAGAGGAGAGTTGGACGGAGTGGTACACTCTAGATCGAAACACAGCCCACCACCGCCCTGCGGGGAGGGGGGGGGGAAGAGAGAAGCGAAATGGGGGGAGGGGATGAAGGGAGGAGAGGAGCGGAAGGGAGGGGATAGGAGAGTTGGACGGAGTGGAACACTCTAGATCGGAACACAGCCCAGCCCACCACCGCCCTGCGGGGGTGAGAGTGGTGGGATGGAAGGATGGATGAGTTGTGGAGTTGGTTGGGATGGGTTTAGAGGGTTGCAAAACAGCATCAGTACTTGGCCTCTTTGAACATCGTGCGACTGGACTGGTGTGCGACTGTGTGTGCGACGGAGTGTGCAACAGAGTGTGCGACTCACCACGACGATGATCCCGTCCAGCTGGCAGAGCTCCTTGTCCGACGCGTTCTGCAGCATGTCGCGCGCGTGGTTGCGACGGCTGGTTACCACCACCTGCGACCAACGAAATTGAGAAATCGTTGTTATTGTTCGTACGTGCAAGCTTACGACAGCCGGAACTCCAGAAATTTTTCGCTGCGCGGAGAAGGACGCGCGATTGGTGCTTGCTACTGCTCGCCATGAAACTTCGCGAACTCTGTGGTAACCACCGCCTCACCTGCACGGCGACACCCGCGCGATCGAACACGGGTCGCACCGCCTCCCATGTCTTTAATCCTTTCTTCCTTCCGCCAATAGGGTTCACGAACACTAGAAGGCTCCTAGGGCGCTCCGGGTCGGCGCGCAGGAGCGAGAGGATGCGGTCCGCCCACTGCTGGCACACGTCCGCGCTGACGTGGCAGAAGACGAGCTTGAGCGGGATCCAACGGTCGGCGGAGCGGCGGAACGTGTGCACCGCGAACTGATGCATCTGCGCGCGCGCGGAGGTGGGGGGAGGGAAGGAGGGAAAGAAGGGAGGGGCATGGGGGGAAAGGAGGAGGGGCGGGGAAGGGGGAGGGGGGAGGGGAGGGGGTTAAGGGGAGGGGAAGGAGGGGAGGGGTTGAATGGGAGAGCACAGGCTGAATGAGGGACGGGCGATGGGGAGCGGAGGGACGAGGGAACGGGGGAGAAGACAACAGCGGAGGAGGACATGTTGGCGGCATCTGCGCCCTTCTCACGCGCGTTTCCCGCGCGCGCGAACTCTCAGGCGCGCTTGACAACGTTGCGCCACACGCGGGGGTTCCTTCCATTTGCGCTTGCTAATGGTTATCGTGCCAGGATATCATTCAAAAGGGTCTTTCTCGTCCACGGCTAGAAGCTCCCGATACCGAAATAAACGAATAAAACAAACAAAATCTTCTTGCGGTGTAGTATCACACCGAGGAGTGTACCTTAACGGGACTCGCAAAGAAGCTGCTCTTAACGGATGCCTCTGGGAGCATTTCGACGGCGTAGATTTCGCTGATGGGTGCTGAGCTGGCATTCGGCTGTTCCAGGCCGCAGTCGTGGCACGGATTGGTTGCGGAGCACCCCTGAGCGGAGAACACGGAAAGAGATAAAACGGGAAAAGAAACTATTAGAGTGGTTTGAAAAAGGGTAAGGAGGGGGGTACGAAAAGGTGGAGGGATAAAGCAGGAGAGTCTCAAGAATCACCTCCGGGGGATAGGAATAAGGAGGTATAAAGCAGGTCCCCGTGGCGAAGCAGGAATTGACGGAGGAGAATAGGCGAAGGAGAATCGACGGAGAAAATTGACGGAGGAGGAACTGACCATAGAAGACATGGCAAACGAGAATTGACGGCAATGTGACGAAATGCGCCTGCGCCGCAAGCGACGGAGTCCTCGAAGCATTTCCCGTTCTACACACGAAATGTTCGCGAAGCTAACGAATACTGCGATTGACAAAGGACAAATCGCACTTATTCAAGGTGCCGAAGCTGACCTGTCCCTCCTGGATTGACCCACTTATTCAGTACCTACCGACCGATACAGCACCTGCTGACCACCTGTAAATTCATTGTAAGCTCGTCTTGAGCCTTGCTATTTTTAGTAGCTACCTGACTCGCCAACTTATCTACCTGACTCGCGGATTCGTCCACTCTGTGCCACACAATCCCGTCGACCATGAGCGCGGCGCGAACGTGGCCGGAATTCGGAATTAAGAACGACTCTTCCAGCAGCGTGTCTCGAGCCTCTCCGCCATTCCTGCCGCCTGCCGTCCCGCCATGCCATCCGGCCCTTCTGCGCCGCCCTTCCGCGTCACTAGCGCTTCGCGACATTACCGCAATCTCCGGGGCGTGCTTAAAGCCCAGGTCTACGTCTACCAGTCCGTCATCGCATTCTCTAGTCATGGAAATAAAAAAGTGCCTAATCTGTCAGAAGAAAGGCGCAACACGAGCTACAGTATCGTACCCCTCCCAGAGCCAGCTGTCAGGCTGCCAGAAATGCTTGCCAGAAATTGCCTGCTCCCGCAGCAACCAGCCCAATCGCGACTGGCCTGGTGTAACGCGAAGGGGAACGAGTGGAAGTGCGGTCCTGACGCAAAAATCCGTGAGGGGGGTGCAGGATACGTGTGTGCTTTTGGAATATATATTGCACTGCCTGCGTAAGCAGGCAGTGCAATCGAGTCAGCGCGGGCAAGAAAAAAAATAAACCCCAGTCGGGGGCATGCCATCCGAGGGAGCCTCAACCCTAAAATTTTAGGGTTGAGGCTCCCGAATGGCATGCCGTAAGCCATGGGTTTATTTTTTTTGCCCGCGGGCAGCGTGCTGACTCGGTCGGTAGCGCTACCGGGCGCTACCAACCGCTACCGACTCTCGAAAGTGAAATATATTGGCCGCGAAATGTGTTCCCAGTTCCAAGCGAGCACGAAGAGAAGCAGAGGGGAAGGGAGGGCGCGAGCGAGGGAGGTGCCGCGGAGGTGCTGCTGGGTTGAAGACGGTTTTCAAATGGGTGAAGAAGGGTTGGGCGGTCCGGAGTGGGGTGCAGCGGGAAGGAGGGGGACGGAGAGGAGCGGTGGCGCGAGAGAAACGGCAGTGGCTGGTGAAACATACGAGGTGTGGGACGGTGGATTGGGTGGGGGAAATGGCGCAACGGGTGGAGGAAATGTCGCAACGGATAGGGGAAATGGCGCAACGGGTAGGGGGACGGCGCGACGGTTTCAATGCAGAGTTGGGGAATTGGGGCGAGCGGATTCGTTGGTGGGAGTAACAGCGGGGCGAGGCTGGGTTGGATAGGGTAACCCGTGGCAGGGAAAAGCCGCAGCGCGTGAGTGGAAATTTTCGTCTTGAGGAAGAAATTCACCTCGGGCAAGCCTGGCCAACGAGACGACAGGCATGAAATTGGGACAGGGGGGTGAACTCTGCTTCCAGTGAAAGTGACGCCTGATTCGTTTTTGAGTTGTGACGCGTTACATGAGACCAGTCACATGACACGAGTCACATGACATGACCTTGACACATGTGTGATGGGACAGAGGTGCAAATTGCAATGTACAGTAGAGCACTTCGCGCCGAACGCGGTGAGCACAGGAGTGAGAAATTGGCGGGAAAAGGGAGGAAGCGGTTGCCGCCGACCGGCCTATGCAGGGGGCTCACCGAGCGCTAACCCAGAAAAGGCTAGGTCGCTCGCTCGCTACATCACATGCATCCTACCTGCAGGTTGGATTGGGTTGTGGTGGAAGAAACGGTTGTTGGGTGGGGTGGATGGATGGATGGATTGAGCACAATTTATTCGACATTGGGCAGTACTGTACAGTACACACCATCACTTGCATGCCTGATGGTTGTCGTCGCCTTTCACCATCATCCGTCATCGCATCAATGCCATGCCCGAAATTGGCTGGGTGGAGTGGAACGGGCAGATCGAAATGGCCGTTGTGGGGAAATTTCACCAGTCATTTGGGGAGGGAGGCACAGTCCGCGGTCAAGCTTCCAGGTGCCAAACTCCCCATCCTCACCAACCATAGAGCAGACCTGCGAAGCGAGTTCCACCACAAGTCGGTTAGCTTTTCAAAAAGCACTTCCCGTAAACCGCGGAGAGCCCATATTTTTTCCAGAAAACCCGAGCACCTGGAAATATTTTCCGGCCATTTTCAGGTGCATGCAACTTAGTCGAGGCGCGCTATTCAGGTGCATGCTATCCCGTCGTTTTTTCCCTCTGTTACCACTGTTTGTACACGTCAGCCACTAAAAATACTGTTCCGTCAGGGGAACACAAGCAGCACACGCAACACACGCAACACACGAAATGGGCCTGACAGGGTAGCCGGAAAATAAAAAAATACAACTCATAGAAAGCCTGGACATTGTTCGGGAGGGATCAACCCTAAACACGGGAACATTCATGGTGTTTAGGGTTGATGTCACGTAAGGCAGTGGAAAAAAAAACTAGGCACCTGGACTAATTTTCCGGAAGAGATCAACCCTAAACACGGAACTGCCCTCGTGTTTAGGGTTGATTCCTCCCGAGTTGCATGCGTTTCCAATTGGGTTCTATATTTTTCTTGCCCGTTTTTATTCAGGTGTATTGCGATATGTGCTGACCTTGTTCGCAGTAAGGCTGCGATTGGTGTGGTTGGACGACGAGTTCGTGCGAGAGCTGCGCCAGTTGGTGTCAGTCGGATTGTAGCATCCCCTGACGGAACAGTAATTTTCGTGGCGGAGGTGTACATACAGTAGCAACAGAGGGAGAAAAACGACGGGATAGCATGCACCTGAATAGCGCGCCTAGACTAAGTTGCATGCACCTGAAAATGGCCGAATATTTCAGCCATGCATGCAGCCCAGGTGCCATCCCCGTCGCAAAGTAATTCCAAGGGCGAGCAGTCGAACTGTTACGTGCAGTGCCCAGTATACATTCACATACCCCACATCTAAAAGCATTTTGTATGGAAACTGAAAATACAATACTAGTAATCTATTATCACAGGTTAATTTACACTAGCTTTACACAAGCCTAATACTGACCATTTACCACGCGTGTTTCACGTCCTGTTATTTTAACTTGAGATACATCATACAAGCTGTTCTGTTTGAATGTAGCGTCACAAAAACCATGGGCGACACAAGAAGCCGCGACTTGAGTGAACGAAAGGCATGCAGAAGAAGAGATAACTCAAGCAGCAGCATAAACACGTGCATTAGTGAGTCTCGAGCATGGCACTGGTGACAGTGGTGCTGAAAGCTAAGTCCTGGTCCAGTGCGGTGGAAAGGGGTGCAGAGCAAAGTGCTGCAGACATCTTATTTGCTGGAGGGAGGTGGCCCTGCAGCCACCGCAGCAACAGCAGCCGCTGCTGCAGCCTCGGCGACAAGATCCTTCCTGGAAGCATCCCACATCTGCTGCTCCAGGTTCAACTTGCGGATCTCCATCAGCCCGCGCTCCGCTGGTGAAATCAGCATGACATCACCATGACAGAGAGGGGGGGCAGCGGAAGTCGCGTGTTCGAATCCCGTCAATCCCGAGGAGGAGGGAGCAAGGGCATGGGAAGAGGATGGAAAGGGACGATGGGGAAGGGAGGGGAGGGGGGGAGGGGTTGGGGGGTCGGAGGGAGGAGGGAAGAGGGAAAGGGAATGCGTTCAGTGGGTGTGTGAAGATGATGCATGGGTGCACAACCCTTGCCGTGCGTGCGTGTGCGCGCAATACTCGTGTGTGTGTGTGTGCGCAATACTCGTGTGTGTGTGCACGCAATACTCGTGTGTGTGTGTGTGTGTGTGTGTGCGCAATACTCGTGTGTGTGTGTGCGCTGCGCATGCAGGCAGCGCATTGCAAACATGTTCATGCTGGGGGGAAATGACGCATGTGTGCACAATCACTCATCATGCGTGCATGCGCTGTGCATGCGGCACACTGCAAAAATGTTTGTGAGATCCTGACCTCCTTGACTCCCTTGACTTTCTTGACTCACCATCCACAGCATCATGCACGGACGGCTTCACAGTGCTGCAGGAGCTCCAGTACCCTCTACCTGTCACTTGAATTCCTTGACTCCAATGACTCTACTCACTCTATGTTGACTTCCTGGACTCTATTGACTCACCATCCACAGCATCATGCGCGGTCGGCTTCACAGTACGCCAGCCTCTTCTCCCTAGCCCCTTGACTCACTTACAGCGCAACCAGCATAACCAGTACAGCCAGCATAACCAGCACAGCCAGCATAACCAGCACAGCCAGCATAACCAGCATAACCAGCACAGCCAGCATAACCAGCATAACCAGCACAGCCAGCATAACCAGCATAACCAGCACAGCCAGCATAACCAGCATAACCAGCATAACCAGCACAGCCAGCATAACCAGCATAACCAGCATAACCAGCACAGCCAGCATAACCAGCATAACCAGCATAACCAGCACAGCCAGCATAACCAGCACAACCAGCACAACCAGCACAGCCAGCATAACCAGCACAACCAGCATAACCAGCACAGCCAGCATAACCAGCACAACCAGCATAACCAGCACAGCCAGCATAACCAGCACAACCAGCATAACCAGCACAGCCAGCATAACCAGCATAACCAGCATAACCAGCACAGCCAGCATAACCAGCACAACCAGCATAACCAGCACAGCCAGCATAACCAGCACAACCAGCATAACCAGCACAGCCAGCATAACCAGCACAACCAGCATAACCAGCACAGCCAGCATAACCAGCACAACCAGCATAACCAGCACAGCCAGCATAACCAGCATAACCAGCATAACCAGCACAGCCAGCATAACCAGCACAGCCATACAGCCCAGCCCACCCTTCACGCATCATCCCCTTTGGGCTGCACAATGCTACGGGAGATCCAGTACGTCAGCCGCTCTGCTGCAATGTCGTCATGTGCCTGCCGTCACCAGCCCCATCATACCTCCTTGACTCCCTTGACTGCCTTGACTCCCTTGACTCCCTTGACTTCCTTGACTTCCTTGACTTCCTTGACTCACCATCCACAGCATCGTGCGCTGTCGGCTTCACAGTGCTGCGGGAGATCCAGAACGCCAGCCGCTCCGCTGCAATGTCCGGCTCCACCTTGTGGTCCCTGCGCCTCTCTCCCATGATACCTGACTCTCATCACTCCCTCCCTTGACATGCTTTCTCTCTGCCAGCACACCCACACAGCCGGCCCTTAACCTCACCATCAACAGCATCATGTGCGGTAGGCTTGACAGTGCTCCTGGAGATCCAGTACGCCAGCCGCTCCGCTGCAATGTCTGGCTCCACCTTGTGGTCGCGCGCTCGCCGCCACCAGTACACCAGCCAGTTCTGCTTGAACCTCACATCCTCAACTTCCTCGTCACTCAGATCTGCGAAATTGGCCGGATAAAAAGAGAAGAAGAAGAGAGGGGTTAGGGCAGAGAGGGGTTACGGCACAGCTTGTGGTCGCGCCTGCCGCCGCCAGTACACCAGCCAGTTCTGCTTGAACCTCACATCCTCCACCTACTCACCGCTCAGATCTGAGACCACATGGGAGAGAGGGATGCGAAGCAAGTTGGCTTGGAATCGGGATCAAAGAACGAGGGAAGACCGATGGAAGGATGAATGAGCAGCAAAGAAGAGCACCAATGAATGGCTGAGAGGCGGAGAGAGGCACGACTGAGGGGCAGCAGAGCAAAGGCAAGTTGACAAAGGAAGGATAAAGAGATAAGGGAGGCAAAAAGTGAGGAACGAAGGTAAGGGGACGAAGGACAGATGGGGTAAGGCAAGGGAGAAAGGGATGGAGGGGGTGGGGGAAGGTAGGGCAGGAGAACTCACCCATAGACTCCACCATCCTTGGACCCTCTTCAGCAGCTGCAGACACAGAAGAGGGGGAATGAGGGAGAGGAGAAAATTGGTGGTTAGTCTGGACATGAATGAAGGGATGAAGCAGAGGTGGTTTGGCTCAGGAAGAGAGAGTTGCTAGCGATGGGATTAGGAGAGAGCAGGGCAAGCACACACACACACACACACACACACACACACACACACACACACACACACACACACACACACACACACACACACACACACACACAACAACAACAAAAACAACAACAGCAACAGAACATCACCCTTACCTTAGCAACATGAGTTTTGAGTCGACTCAAAAGTCAACAACAAAACATCACCCTTACCTTAGCACGAACATCACTCTACCATGAAAAAGGAACATCACATAGTGCACTTTGAAGACGGCAGGGCAGTGGTGCTGTGCCATGGCGAGCAGCACGCCCTCCTCCACCATTGAGGATTCCCAAAAGTGGTAGCTGATACCTCCCAGTGAGGCTCCTTGTTCTTCTGACTGACAGTAAAAGACTCACCTGAAGGGGCGGGGTGCATTTTGAGCAGCGCAGGGCTGCGGTGATGCGACATGGCGAGCAGCACCCCTACCTCCACCTTGCAAGCAGATAACCCCCCTATAAACAGTCCCCTTACCTGACGGCGCAGAGTGCACTTTGAGCAGAGCAGGGCGGCGGTGCTGGGCCATGGCGAGCAGCACGCCCTCCTCCACCTTGAGAGCCGCCAGGTCTCTCAGCGCCTTCTCCACCTGAAACATGCTCTCTATGTTGCTCTCCGTGCCCACCGCTGCCGGCTTGTCCTCTGCTTGAGGGGTGGGCGAAGGGGGAAGGAGGGCGCAGGGGAAAGAGGGAGAGTAGGCGGGAAGGGAGAGGGAGGAAGGGGGAAGAGAGAGAGAGGAAAGGGGGGTTGTCAGCTGCCTAAGTGACCACCTTGAGTTAAGCGCCGCCAGGTCTCTCAGCGCCTTCTCCACCTGAAACATGCTCTCTATGTTGCTCTCCGTGCCCACCGCTGCTGGCTTGTTCTCTGCTTGGATGGGAAGATAGTTGGAATTGGCGAAAGAGAAGCAGGAAAGGAAGGACTTTTGAGGTGCCTCAAAAGTTGGGTGGGGAGAGAGTTAGGATCAGGGAAAGAGAAGCAGGAGAGGAAGGGGAGAAGCAACTCATAGCCTTCTTCAGTTCTTTGGTTTGTCGTCCTAGTTAGACGCGTTCCCCAGGCCTTCCTTTGCACACCCCAACCCGGTGCACGCACCCTTCCTCCCCCAATCGGACTCATCCGTCCCGCAACAATCATCGCTTTCATGGCATTTCCCCCTTATCACACTCCCACTCCACTCACCTTTCTCGCCACCGTCAGGCTCCTCCCAGGCCTTCCTGCTAGCGTCTTCACCACCTCGAAGGGCACAAAAGAACAAGGCCCCACCACACTAACCTATTCACCTTCCCACCTTCTCTCCTACCCCTCTTTCTCCCTTTCCCCCCTATTCCCCCTATCTGTCTCACCTTTCTCCCCACCCTCGGGCTCCTCCCTGGCCTTCCTCCCCGCGTCTATGACCACCTCAAAGGGCAGAGGCACACAAGCGCAAGCACCCCTCCCCTCCCCGTCCCCCCTCTCCCCCCCCGCCTCACCTTTCTCCCCACCCTCGGGCTCCTCCCTGGCCTTCCTCCCCGCGTCTATGACCACCTCAAAGGGCAGAGGCACACAAGCGCAAGCACCCCTCCCCTCCCCGTCCCCCCTCTCCCCCCCCGCCTCACCTTTCTCCCCACCCTCGGGCTCCTCCCTGGCCTTCCTCCCCGCGTCTATGACCACCTCGAAGGGCAGAGGCACACAAGCGCAAGCACCCCTCCCCTCCCCGTCCCCCCTCTCCCCCCCCGCCTCACCTTTCTCCCCACCGTCGGGCTCCTCCCGGGCCTTCCTGCCAGCGTCTATCACCACCTCGAAGGGCAGAGGCGAGTACTTCTGCCAGTGGTCGCTGCGGGAACTGGCGATCTCAGCATGCACGCCTGAAGCAGGGGGAGGGGACGAACGAGGAAATTGGGAGGGGAAGCGAAGCGGGGAGATGAGTCGATGACTATCCCGAAGGGCAGAGTCGAGTACTTCTGCCAGTGGTCACTGCGAAAGCTGGCGATTTCAGCATGCACGCCTGGTTCAGGGGAACAGGGGAGGAGGAGGGGGAAAGGAGGAATTGGGAGGCGAAAAGAGGAAATGCATCAATCACCATTCACCACCTCTTTTTCGAAGGGCAGAGGCGAGTACTTCTGCCAGTGGTCGCTGCGGGAGCTGGCGATCTCAGCATGCACACCTGGAGGGGGAGAGAGGGGGAGGGGGCGGAGGCGGAGGAAAGGAAAGGCAGGAGGGGAGATAACGAAGGGGAGATAACGAAGGGGAGATAACGAAGGGGAGATAACTAAGGGGAGATAACGAAGGGGAAAACGAAGGGGAGATAACGAAGGGGAGAGAGAGGGACGACAGGGAAAGATGAGACTGATATTCGTTTATCCCACTTGTGAAGCACAGCAAGCAGGCAAAGACCTAAGCCAACCCAGCGTGGTGGGATGCAAGGGCCCAGTAGCAGGCGGGCCAGCAGCACTTGAGCAGGAGTTGTCGAACGAGGGCTCATCACACGAGGGCTCAGCAGCAGGCGGGCCAGCAGCACTTGAGCAGGAGTTGTCGAACGAGGGCTCATCACACGAGGGCTCAGCAGCAGGCGGGCCAGCAGCACTTGAGCAGGAGTTGTCGAACGAGGGCTCATCACACGAGGGCTCAGTAGCAGGCGGGCCAGCAGCTCTTGAGCACCACCTCCTCCTTCTCCTCGGGCGTCAGCAGAATGCGGCTCCTCAGCACCCTCGCCTCCTCGCTCGCTCGCATTGAGACACACACCTCATGGAGCCCAGACACACAGACACGAACCGTGGAGGGATGCAAGCGCCCAATAACGGGCAAGCCAGCAGCTCTTGAGCACCACCTCCTCCTTCTCCTCGGGCGTCAGCAGAATGCGGCTCCTCAGCACCCTCGCCTCCTCGCTCGCTCGCATTGAGACACACACCTCATGGAGCCCAGACACACAGACACGTACCGTGGCGGGATGCAAGCGCCCAATAACGGGCGAGCCAGCAGCTCTTGAGCACCACCTCCTCCTTCTCCTCGGGCGTGAGCAATGCTTCAGTGCACCTTGTGGGGCCTGCCTTGAGGGGCTCAGACCCAGACTTACCATGGCGGGAGGCGAGGGCCCAATAACGGGCAAGCCAGCAGCGTTTCAGCACCACCCCCTCCTTCTCCACGGGCGTCAGCAGAATGCTTCAGATCACCTTGTGGGGCCTGCCTTGAGGGGCTCAGACCCAGACTTACCATGGCGGGAGGCGAGGGCCCAATAACGGGCGAGCCAGCAGCGTTTCAGCACCACCTCCTCCTTCTCCTCGGGCGTCAGCAGAATGCGCGCCGTTAGGCTCCTCAGCGCCCTCACCTCCTCGCTCGCCTGCCTCGCCTCCTCCATCGCTGCTGCCGCCTCCTCTTTCTGAGACTGCAAGGGGTGCAACAATGCACACATGGGAAAGCACATCAAAAGGCACATGGTACAGAAGGAGGGGCATATTGTCAGCTGATCACCACGCAGTGAGGCTCCTACTCAGAGCCCTCACCTCCTCGCCCGCTTCTGCTGCCTCCTCCTTCTGGGACTGTGTGGTGCATGCATGCAATCATGGGTGGGTGGCTGGCTGCTGAAATGCTTCACGTGACTTAATTCCACCAACCCACTCCCACCCATTTGAACTCCCTGTTAACCCTCTTCACTCCCTCACCTCGAGTTCCATCCTGAGCGTGGTGATCTCCACCTCCTTCACGTCCTTGCTCTTGTCCTTCATCTCCTTCAGACTCGCCTGCCCACCCCCCACGCAAGCACGCGCGCAGAAAAAGGTGGTACAGGCAGCACAAGAGCAAGGGCGCACAGGCAGGTGAGAACAGGGCATGGCAATTGATTTGAAGCACGCCATCAAAGGATATGCATGAAGACATGGGCATCGGGCAGGGCAGGGCTGTCAAATCACGGGCATGAGTAGGCAAGAAAGAGTAAATGAGATCGGGGTGGGTGATCATGCATGCAGGCGATGATTAACTTAGCATGCAAGCAGAAATAGTGCATTAGCTTAGCAGGAGGAGATTACCTCTCGCTGCTTGAGAACTGCCTCTTTCCTGCCAGGGGGGATGAGATGAGAGGGGGCGAGGAGGGGAGGGAGAGGCATAGCCTGTCGGTATACACCTTCACGAGATTCCGCTCAAGGAAAAGAGAAATGCAAGAAACGCTTTTTTTTTGCGGCGCCTCTAAAGAAAGAAAGAAATGCGTGCAGCAAACGAGTTTGGAGATGTCTCGATACTCAGAGTAGCAAAGCGAGGTGGCGGACGGGTTGGGGGAGCAGAGAAAGAAAGACAAGGGGAGACGATGGTTCGGAAGGAAGACAACAGGCTGGGCTCAAAGGGAGGGGGGGCGCTGGGGAGGAGGGGGCGGTGGGGAGGAGGGGGCGGTGGGGAGGAGGGGACGGAGGGGTCTGGATTGGATAAATCGGGTTGATTCCAGGTATCCAGTTTTTGAGTTGACTCAAAACAGTTTTTGAGTCGACTCAATTCCAGGTATCTAGTTTTGAAAAGACGGTTAGGTTTTCCTCACTTGTTGAGAAGGCGGGCCTCCAGACTGAGCCCTTCTCCCATCTTCGCCACCTGCAGGGCGACAGAGAGATGGAGCAAGAGAGAGAGAGAAAACGCTTTCAGTTTTGCAACACGGTGGAGTGGAGAGCGATTGAAGGGTAGGGAGGAACAGGATGTGGAAAGCCGATGCCTACGCACAGAGTCAAAGTGTGGTCACCTTTTTTTTTTTTACTCGATTCAGCCTGGGGCCAACCCAACCCAACCCGACTCGACCCGACCCGACCCGACTTCACTCTCACCCTTCTCACTCCCCCACCCTCTCACTCACTCCTCTCCCCTCACTCCCTCTTCCCACTCCCCCCTCTCATTTTCCTCTCACTCCTCCCCCCCCCCCAATCCCCCCACCTGCTTCTCCAGCTCCTGCACGCGCGCCTGCTTCTCCTTGAGGTCCTCTTCTGCCATGCGCAGCTGCAGGGAGGGGAGGGGGAGGGGGGTAGAAGGGGAGAGGGGGAAAGAGGGAGAGAGGGGAACGGGGATGAGAAGGGAGGAGAGTCCTGCACGCGCGCCTGCTTCTGCTTGAGGTCTTCCCCTGCCACGCGCAGCTGCACATGGGAGGAGGGGAGGGTGAAGGGAGGAAGCGTGGGGGATATGTGCATCAGAACCACTTTCAAGTTGACTTTTGAGTCGACTCAAAAGTCAACTCGGGTGAAGGGAGGAAGTGTGCGTGGGGGATATGTGCTGCGCATCAGAACCACTTTCTCTCCTCTGCATCCACGATATCACATAACGTCAGAAAATCGTGAGTTGACTCCCCTCTCTATGAAGCTCACCTTATCCACCAGGAACTCCTCCTCTCTATAAAGCTCACCTTATCCACCAGGAATTCGTTCTCCTCTGTCGTACATCCAGCTGGGGAAAAGAGACTCTTGATACGCCTTAGATAACCCATTTTCTTCGCACCAATATACGCCTTAGATAACCCACTTTCCCCCCACCAATATACGCCTTGATCAGCTTACCTTATCCACCAGGAACTCATTCTCCTCTGTCAGTACATCCAGCTGGGGAAAACGTGGCGGGAAGAGGGGCAAGGGAAGGGAGCACAGAGCACAGTGGGGAGCACATTAAGCGGAGTCTATGCTTGACGCGCGTCAAAAGCAGGCGGGACGAGAGGGGCAGAGGTGCAAGGAGCACGCCTTTTGAGGCGCCTCAAAAATCGTCTTTTGAGGCGCCTCAAAAAAGGGGTGCAAGGAGCACACCGACGTGACGAGCATATTAAGATGAGAATAGGGAATATAGAGAAGGGAGAAACGAGATGGTAGAGCAGGGAAGAAAGACGAGGGATGGCGGGAGGGGAGGGAAAGGGAGGAGGGGAGGGTGGGGAGGGACAAGAAACGAGAGTGGGCAAGCAGCAGGAATTGGGGGAAAAAGGGAGTGCGGGTCAGTCAAGAGGCGTCTGTGTGGACCACCAGTGTGCAACGTGAATTTCAGGATTCTAAACTACGCCCCATTTCACGCTCTTCCATCCTCTTCCATCCTCTTCCATCCTCTTCCATCCTCTTCCATCCTCTTCCATCCTCTTCCATCCTCTTCCATCCTCTTCCATCCTCTTCCATCCTCTTTCATCCTCTTCCATCCTCTTCCATCCTCTTCCATCCTCTTCCATCCTCTTTCATGCTTACATCGTCCTTGAGCTTGGCTGATTCGCGCTTGATGCTCTCCATCTCCTGCCGGGACGCTACTGTATCCCTGCCAGAGGGATGAGAGTGGTGCAGAGGGGTGAGAGGAGGAGCGGAGGGAGTGTAACGAGGTGGGAGGGGTGAAGAGTGGTGCATTTTGGTAAGGAACATGCGATGTAAAAATGAAAGGATTGTTCACGCATTTCCTCTCCAGGGCGTAAGTGCGTCGCCCCATGTTGGGGCCGCCCATGTCTCCCCATCTACTTGCAGCAACTCATCCCATACCCATGCATACATGAACATGTGCTAGTCTTTGCACACATCCCATCCACCGCACTCATCTTTGCACACATCCCATCCACCGCACTCATCTTTGCACACATCCCATCCACCGCACTCATCTTTGCACACATCCCATCCACCGCACTCATCTTTGCACACATCCCATCCACCGCACTCATCTTTGCACACATCCCATCCACCGCACTCATCTTGCACAAACCCTATCCACCGCACTCATCTTGCACAAACCCCATCCACCGCACTCATCTTGCACAAACCCCATCCACCGCACTCATCTTGCACACATGCATCACTCAAGCGTCCCACACGTACGGGCGTCGTCCCATGTCGTAGCCGCCCATGCCTCCCCACCTCTTGAAACATGCAACAAACCATCCGATACACATAGGTCATGCGTGAATGTACATACATGCACCTTCTCACGCCCCACCCCAACCACACGTACGGGCGTTGTCCCATGTCATAGCCGCCCATGCCTTCCCCCTCACTTACGGGTCCCCCAAGGGATCGGATGCGTCATTTCCGCCCCCTGCCATCCCTCACACCATCACACCCACACAATTCCGCGTCTCACCTGCCCATTACCCACGCAGTCACCTCCCCATGTACAATCCCCTACGTACGGGCGTCGTCCCATGTCATAGCCGCCCATGCCTCCCCCCCCTCGGTAAGGGTCGTCGGGCGCGTCGTATCCGCCGGCCGGCCGCGTGCGCCCCATGGCGCCCCCAGTGGGGGGCTGGCGCATTCCCCCGCCGGACCTGGGGAGCTGGTATGCGGGGAGGGGAGGGGAGGGAGAAATGGCGGACATGGGGGCGCGCGATCTTTGAGACGCCTCAAAAAAACCTCAGTAAGTACGGGTCACACATGGTAGTTGGGGTCGGTCGAGTCATATCCGCCCCCAGCCAGCCGCGCGCGCCCCATGGCGCCCCCCGTGGGGGGCCGGCGCATTCCCCTGCCGGACCTGGGGAGCTGGGACGCGGGGAGAGGGGGAACGTCGGGGGAAACGGAGTGCGCGAATCAGGACAGGACGCATTTCACGACAGCACGAACATAATAGTATAATCAAGAAGATAGTCGAACTTACAGCGTGTAACTGTAACCGTGTAAACACATAGCCATGCTTCGTCTGGCACATATTAACCTCCCCGTTTCAGATCAGCATTATCAGCCGTTTTGGAACCACCCATCCTTGACGAATCAACAACAATCGCGTTGACTGAATGAGAAGCATTGACTGAGTCTATCGCCTTGACATCCCGTTGACTCCCAGCGTTGACTCCCAGCGTTGACTTCCCGCGTTGACTCCCAGCCTAACGTCGTCAGCATCAGCCTACCGTCCTTGACCTCAGTCTGCCGTCTAGTCTTCGCCACTGATGACGTCAGCTTATCATCGTTGACCTAAGCTCTTCGTCGACCTAATTTCCGTGACCCGTCAATGATGACGCCACCTTACCATCCTTGACCTAAGCTCATCGTCTTGTTGACCTAATCCTCGACGCGCCGAAAGAAATCTACCGTCGCGTTGACCTCAGTCTCCCGTCGTCGTTGACCTAGTCTTCCTCATCGGCCAAGTCAACCTATCGCTTTTGTCCTGAACTCATCGCCTCGTCGTCTCACTCATCGTCTCACTCATCGCCTCATCCTCCCAATGTCCCATCGTCTCATTGTCGCGATGACCTGAGATTCACCAGGAGCGCACGTCCATCGTCAATATCAAGGCGTGGGCTTTGCGTCTCACCGTTCTATACATAGCTTCACGCCGATGGCCAAGACCTATCTAATCGTTCAGTCGACCGGATGGCTCCGGAACAAACCACGCCAAGTGCCGTGCGGCCGCAGAAAACATTTTGCCGCGTCTGCCCATTTCCGGCACTGCGATTATAATGAAGCAGTCACGCTGTGTATTAAGTCACTACAGGAATCACATCGAGACACGTATATTGTCGATGACGTCAGAAATGTGCTCCAGACCAGTTGTACACGTCAGTTATACACGAGCTCCTGGAGACCTGCTCCATGCACTTGAAGACAGGCACACTGCGACCGACACGTTGTGATTATCGGGGAATACTAGAATCTGCACAGTACTACGACCGGCACATTACGACCGGCACACTACGACCGGCACACTACGACCGGCACACTACGACCGGCACATTACGACCAGCACACTGCGGCCGGCACATTACGACCGGCACAATACAACCGGCACACTACGATCCCCGCGCACACGCAGACAGCGCGCGCACCTGGCTGCTGTAGTCGTCTTGGGATTCGTCCGACGTGTTTGACATGAGCGCGCGGAGCCGCTGCTGCGCCTGCAGCGCCGCATTGCTGCGCGACGACGGTCCGCCGGGCCCCTTCCCCGCTCCTGCGGGTGTTCCGGCTGCCCCTCCGTAGCGGCCTGACCGCGCGCCATATCCTCCGGGGCGCGACGGATTCATGGCCGCGCGCAGAGATTACGAGGAATAACAAATACCCTTAGAGCAATGGGGAAAAAACCTAACTACGCCCGTGCCACTACGCTGGCGTTTCAAATATCCACAACCCCAGAATACCGAACCTGGTGAAGGATACTTCCCGCTGGTGAGTCTACGAGGGCCTAGAGAGCAGTTGGATTCAGTTATCAGTTACTAGGACAAACGGAGTGCTTGCTCGCCGTCCTAGCAACTAGAAATAGTGTGATCTCTGGGAGAGGAGGCATGATTGGGAGGAACCTTGAGATTGGTTGGTTGGGGATGATGAGGTGGTTTGACCGAGGTGGTCGTGGCGAAAAGAAATGTTTAGCGGTAACCTGATTTCGTGGATTTCCAAAACAGTGGTTTTAGGACGTGTTACATACGTCTTGGTCCGCGCAGGTTTCCCGAACCATCTTGACAAGACAGCGAGCCAGCCACGAACCAGCGGTCCACAAAAGAGATGACCAAACACTGGACCCTCTAGACCCAAGTTGAAGGCCGACACAATAGGCCCAAACAAACCCGACCTACTACGGGCGTATTCTTGGCCTTTCCAAACTGTTGTCATCCGCTGTTTGTATCAGCCTATTTTTTTTTCCCAAACTGCGGGTTTTCCAATTCGAGCTTCATGTCTTCCGATTCGAGATTTGACGAGCTTCGGCGAATACGGAGGACGAAATCGGTTTTCCCTGCATGAATAAGTTTGTCGAGCTGTAGTGCGACACTTCTGATAGTGCGACAAATTTCACACTAATTTTGTTGTTCAACATTGGAAAATATATTGCACTATCAGCGCCAGCTTCAGGTTGAGGCTCCCGAATGGCATGGCGTTCACGATGCGTTTTAGTTTTTTCTGCCCGCGGTCAGCTTGGTGATTCATTCGATAGCGCCGTCTAGCGCTACCGAGCGATACCGACGCTACCGAGTGCAACATATTGTCAAACTTATACACTATAGTCTGTGTAGGCTGTAGTGGGGTAGCTCATATGGGGTACAACATTCTAGGGTTTGGTACTTGTACTCCTCATGCTGCTCAATGCATTCATTCTCGTTCCAATTGTCACATGGTATAGAGCAGGTTCCCTCGTGGGAACTGTTCCTAGGGCCCACCGTAAGATTTTTTTTTTCCTGCCCGGAGCGCACTCCGCCCCTGCCCGAGTCGCGCTCCCCTCCCCTCGCTTCCCTTAGCGGCCCCGTCGCGCCGCGCTTCCGGCCCCGGCGCCGCCTCTGCTGGCCCCGGCGCCCCCCTGTCGCGACCCCGCGGCCCCACCCTCGCGTCGCCCTGCGCGGCGTCGTTACAGCCGCCCGCGACCCCGACGCCGCCCGTCTCGACCCCGTCGCCCTTCGCGCCGCCCGCGACCTCGTCGCCGCGGCCGCCTGCGACCCTACCGCTGCAGCCGCCCGCGACCCTGTCGCCGCAGCCGCCCGCGACCCTGCCGTCGCCGCCGCCCGCGACCCTGCGGTCGCAGCCGCCCGCGACCCTACCGTCGCCGCCGCCCGCGACCCTGCAGTCGCAGCCGCCTGCGACCTCGTCGCCGCGGCCGCCTGCCCTCCCGTCGCCGCAGCCGCGCGCGACTCCTGTGGTCGCAGCCGCCCGCGACCCCCCGTCGCCCCACCCGTGCGACCCCACCGCCGCCCTTTGCGGCCCCTTCGCCATCCCTTCGCGGCCCCGCCGAGCAGCCGCGCCGCCGAGACGCCGCCGCCGCCGAGCCGCCGAGCTGCCGAGCCGTCGAGCCGCCGAGCCGCCGAGCTGTCGTTGCCGCCGAGTTGCCGAGCCGTCGAGCCGCCACTGCCGCCGTGCTGCCGAGCCGCCGAGACGCCGGTGCCGACGAGCTGCCGAGCCGCTGAGCCGCCGAGCCGCCGTTCCTGCCGTCCCGGCCCTGTTCCTGCCGACGCGCCTCGGTCCTTCTCGCCTGCCCGGTAAGAGCAGCGCCTCCACCACTGCTCTGCCCTAGCCTGCTGCTCTCACTGCTAGTCTACTGCTGTCATGGCTTCCCCCAGTGTCCTCACTTTTGACGCTGAGGGTCGGGCCATTGACTTTGACGTCTGGGTAGATGACCTGCAGCTTTTCCTACTGAGCGACAGAGCAGACGGCCTCTCCCTTTTTGACCTCACCTCTGGTGCCTCTCCTGCCCCTGCTGCTGATGCTGACCCCACTGTTCGCTCCCAGTGGGCCACACGCGATGCTGCTGCCCGCCTTGCTGTGCGCCGCCACTTGCCGACCTCTGAGCGTGCGCACTTTAGCCAGTACAAGAGTGCTAAGACCTTGTACGACGCTGTAGTTGCGCGCTACTCTTCCCCTGCCACTGCTGCGCTTAGCCGCCTTATCCTACCGTACCTCTTCCCTGACCTCGCCGCTTTTCCCACTGTCGCTGACCTCATTACGCACCTTCGCACTAGTGACACTCGCTACCGCGCTGCGCTTCCTGCTGAGTTCTGCGCCAAGAACCCCCCCCCATGTATATCACCCTCTACTACATAGTCACCCGGCTCCCTGACACCCTTCGCCCGGTTAGGGACCACTTCCTCTCTGTTTGCCCCACCACCCTCACCGTTGACCTCCTCGAGGAGCGCCTGCTCGCGGCAGAGAAGAGCATAGTCGCAGTAGGTGCCTCTCGTGGTGACCCTCGTACCCCTATCTTTGAGGGGTGCTCCCCCTCTCCCCTCTTGCCCTCTGTTGCCTCTGCTGCTGCGGCCGACCTCGTTGGTCTTGAGTCGGTCGTTGCGGCGTCTGCCCCTAGCGGGAGACGCCGCCCTGGCAAGGGCAAGGGGGGCAAGGGTGCTGGAGGGGCTGGAGGGGGCGGTGGAGGCGGAGGTGGAGGTGGTGGAGGGGGTGGGGGTGGCGGTGGGGGTGGTGGCGGGGGTGGGGGCGTCGGTGGCGGGACTGGAGGTGGAGGTGGAGGCGGCGGTGGCGGTGGGAGCGGAGGTGGCGGAGGTGGCGGTAGTGGAGGAGGTAGCGGCGGAGGCGGCGGAGCTGGTCGGGGTGGCGCTGCGCAGAGGGGTGGCTCCGGTGGTGGTGCGCGCCAGCAGCAGCAGCAGCAGCGTACCCGTGAGACCCCTTCCCCCCAGCAGCTTCGTGAGTGGTACGCTGCTCGTCAGCGGGGTGGGGGTGCTGGCCCCTGCACCTACGTTCTCCGTACCGGCGACCGGGCGGGTGAGCAGTGTGGAGGCCCGCACCCCACCCAGCGCTGCTTCGGTCGGCTGACAGACGCGTGGCGCCACCAGTTCCCCGACGCTACGGAGATCCCTCGCTGGGGCGAGCTGTCTAGGGCGGGTGTTGCAATCTATGATCTTGACTTTGATGCTATTCTTGCTGCCATGTATGCTGTGACTATTAGTGATGAGGGTGACTGTTACCGGTGTTTCCCGCCTGACCCAGGCATAGAGGCTGCTGCGCTAGGTACTTGTGAGGCTGCTGCTCTAGGTGCCAGTGCGTCTGCTGCCCCAGGTGCCGGTGAGTTTGCGCTCTCAGGTGCTGCGTCGCCCCCGGACACCCACACCTTCACCCTTGACTCGGGTGCTTCCCGCTCCTTCTTTCGAGACTGCACCACTCTCACACCGCTCAGTCGGCCTGTTGCGGTCTCCCTAGCGGACCCCTCTGGGGGTCCTGTCCTTGCTCACTACTCCACTGTCCTACCGTGTCCAGCGGTCCCGTCTGGCTCCCTGTCGGGTCTCTACCTCCCCTCGTTCTCTACGAACTTGGTGGCGGGTGCTGACCTCCAGGATGCAGGAGTTGACCAGTTCACCCCTGCGCGTCAGCGGGTGACCCACTGCACTTGTGCGGACACGGGCCGCCACTTGGCCACGTTTGCTCGTCGGCCAGGGTCGAGCCTGTACACACTGACTACTGAGTCTTCCCCAGTCACTGAGTCTGCTCAGGTAGCCGCGTCGGGTCAGGTGTTTGCTGCGGCGTCCAGGTCTGGTCCTGAGTCTGCCCCCTGCTCGTGTCGTCTCCTGTCTCACCGGACTCTCCTCTGGCACCACCGTCTTGGTCACCCCTCCCTGCCTCGCCTTCGAGGCATGGCTTCCCGTCTTCTTGTTTCTGGTCTCCCCCGGTCCCTCCCTCCTCTTCCTCCGGGGCCTGCCCCCACCTGCGTTCCCTGCGTCGAGGGGCGGCAGCGCGCTGCTCCTCACTCCTCCGAGTTTCCTCCGACAGAGGCTCCGCTGCAGACGCTTCACATGGACGTGTGGGGCCCAGCCCGCGTCCGTGGGCAGGGTCAGGAGCGCTACTTCCTGCTGGTGGTTGACGACTACTCGCGTTACACCGCAGTCTTCCCCTTGCGCAGCAAGGGTGACGTCACTGAGGTGTTGATCGCCTGGATCCGCGCGGCTCGTCTCCAGCTCCAGGAGAGTTTCGGCTCCGACTTTCCTGTTCGGCGTCTGCACTCCGACCGAGGCGGAGAGTTCTCCTCTGACCTTCTGCAGACCTTCTGTCGCACACGAGGCATCCGCCAGACCTTCACGCTTCCGGACTCTCCGCAGCAGAATGGGATTGCTGAGCGCCGCATCGGCATGGTCATGGACGTCGCTCGTACGTCCATGATCCATGCGGCTGCTCCCCATTTTCTGTGGCCGTTTGCGGTTCGGTACGCGGCGCATCAGCTCAACCTTCACCCCCGGGTCTCCATGCCGGAGACCTCCCCTGCTTTGCTGTGGACGGGGAAGGTTGGTGATGCGTCGCGTTTTCGGGTCTGGGGATCTAGGGCGTTTGTCCGCGACTTGTCTGCGGACAAGCTGTCCTCTCGTGCTGTTCCCTGCGTCTTCCTTGGCTTTCCCCCTGACGCGCCAGGCTGGCAGTTCTACCACCCCACCTCGCGCCGTGTCTTCGCGTCCCAGGACGTCACCTTTGACGAGTCGGTTCCCTACTACCGTCTCTTCCCCTACCGCACTGCGTCCCTCCCTCCCCCGCCGCTCTTCCTTACACCAGGCCCCCCTCCGGTAGACCCCCTCCCCCCTCAGGGTCCTGCTCCCTCAGGTGTGTCCCAGGTAGATGCAGTTGAGCCAGTCGAGGTAGCTGTTGACTCTGGTACTGCTGGTGGTGCTGAGCCTGGGGGTGCTGGGTCTGGGGGTGCTGCGACTGGGGGTGCTGGGTCTGGGGGTGCTGCGACTGGGGGTGCTGAGCCTGGGGGTGCTGAGCCTGGGGGTGCTGAGCCTGGGGGTACTGCGCCTGGGGGTGCTGCGCCTGGGGGTGCTGCGCCTGGGGGTGCTGAGCCTGGGGGTGCTGAGTCTCGGAGTGCGGAGCCTGAGAGTGCTGGACCTGCTCGTCCGGCGTCTGGTGGTGCTGAGCCTGGCGGTTCCTCCGGTGCTTCGTCCCGGCGGGAGCTGCTCTCTCCACAGGAGCTGCGTGAGTGGTTCGCCCGGCGCTGGCGACGTGCTGCTGGAGCTGGTGGTGCTGCAGGAGCTGGGGGTTCTACTGCTGCTGAGAGTGCTGGTGCCGAGGGTCCCAGAGGTGCTCGTACCGAGTGTACTGGAGCTGCTGACCCTACGAGTGCTCCTCCTGCTGGAGCTGGTGGTGCTGCTGGTGTTGCTGGCGCTGGAGCTGCTGGTGCTGCTGGAGCTGCTGGTGCTGCTGGTGCTGCTGGTGCTGCTGGTGCTGCTGGTGCTACTGGCGTTGGTGCTGCTGGAGCTCCTGGAGCTGGAGCTGCTGCGTCTTCGGGTGGTCCGGCTGGAGCTGGAGCTACTGGGGGTGTTGGCGCTGGGGGTGCTCCTGGCGCTGGTGCTGCTGGGGGTGCTGGAGTTGGAGCTGCTGGAGTTGCGGGTCTTCCTGGTGCTGGTGCTCCCGCTGGGGGCGCTGGTGCTGTTCCTGCTGGCACTGGTGGAGCTGCGCGGCCGCGGCCGTACTTCGTTCCGCTCCTTGAGCAGGTTCTTGGTCTTCCGTCCTCTCTTGGTCCTGCTCCTGCCTTAGAGTGTCCGCCTCCTGTCCAGTCTGAGTCACAGTTACAGCCACCTTCCCCGCTTCCTTCTCCTTCTCCCTACACTGGTCCTACTGGAGGTCTTGCTGAGCGTCGTGAGCCTGCGTCTCGCCCTGCGTCGCCTGTCCGTGCTGCTCGCACTAGTGGTCGTGGTTCGCGTCAGCGTCCTCCCCCTGTCCCCGGCACGCACCGGATGTCTCTGCGTCCTTCCACTGCTCCGCTGCGTGCCCCTTTGCCCTCTCCTCCAGCGTCCTCTCTTCCTGAGCTTCCTGACCCGGAGTCGGACTCCCTTCGTGCTGCGCGTCCTACTGTCACGCGTCTCCTTGCTACTGTCGTCACTGACCCTTCCTTTGAGTCTACTGCTGCGTCTGCCCTAGTTGCTGAGCTTGTCGACTTCGCTGCTCGCTGTCGCCTAGACTACGCTACCAGTCTCGTCGCTGAGTCTGAGTCTGTCTGTCCTCCGTCCGTCGGGGGTGAGTGTGCTCTTGGCACGGACGTCCTTGAGGACAGACAGGAGGAGTTCCAGTGTCTTGCTGCTGCTTTGCCCCGTCTCGTGTCCTTGCTAGTTGCCCCTGAGGGAGACCCGGATGCACCAGACATCCCGACCCCACGCACTTACGCTGAGGCGATGGCGGGTCCCTACTCCTCTCAGTGGCAGACGGCCATGGACGCCGAGATGGCTTCCTGGAAGTCCACACGCACCTACGTCGACGAGGTTCCCCCTCCTGGGGCGAACATCGTCAGTGGCATGTGGATTTTCAGGGTGAAGCGACCGCCGGGTTCTCCGCCTGTCTTCAAGGCGCGTTACGTGGCTCGAGGCTTCAGTCAGCGAGAGGGAGTTGACTTCTTCCAGACCTTCTCCCCCACCCCGAAGATGACCACTCTTCGGGTGCTGCTGCACATAGCCGCTCACCGCGACTACGAGCTTCACTCACTTGACTTCAGCACTGCTTTCTTGCAGGGCAGCCTGCACGAGGAGATCTGGCTGCGCCGCCCACCTGGCTTCACTGGGTCGTTTCCTCCTGGTACCCAGTGGAGGCTTCAGCGGCCGGTCTACGGTCTCCGCCAGGCTCCGCGTGAGTGGCACGACACACTGAGGACTACACTTGCGGCTCTTGGGTTCGCGCCTTCTACAGCTGACCCGTCGCTGTTCCTGCGCACCGACACTTCGCTGCCGCCGTTCTACATCCTCGTGTACGTCGACGACTTGGTCTTTGCCACTGCTGACACTGCAGGACTCGCTCACGTGAAGTCGGAGCTGCAGAGGAGACACACGTGCACAGACCTGGGTGAGCTGACAAGCTATCTTGGCTTGCGGATCACCCGGGACAGAGCACGGCGCACCATCACCTTGACTCAGTCACACATGGTGCAGCAGGTTCTCCAGCGCTTTGGCTTCACGTACTCCTCGCCTCAGTCCACTCCTCTGCCTGCCGGTCACTCGCTCTCAGCTCTGCCTTCGGATGAGTCCGTAGAGCCGAGTGGCCCGTATCCAGAGCTTGTGGGCTGCCTCATGTACCTGATGACCTGCACTCGACCTGACCTTGCATACCCTCTTAGCATCCTTGCACGCTATGTCGCTCCTGGCCGTCACAGGAAGGAGCACATGGATGCCGCTAAGAGGGTGTTGCGCTACTTGTGCAGTACGTCGGGCATGGGGCTTGTGCTTGGAGGGCGAGACCGAGTTGTGCTCACAGGGCACTCAGACGCTTCTTGGGCAGACGACCAGGCCACTCAGCGGTCGTCTCAGGGTTACACCTTCAGCCTTGGCTCTGGCTCAGTTTCTTGGCGCTCTACACGCTCTTCTTCTGTTCTCGGCTCCAGTTGCGAGGCTGAGATCTACGCTACAGCCATGGCTGCCCAGGAGCTACGCTGGCTGACCTACCTGCTGACTGACCTCGGAGAGCCGCCTCGTTCTCCTCCAGTACTGTACGTCGACAACAAGGCTGCCATTGCCTTGTGTGAGGAGCACAGACTGGAGCACAGAACGAAGCACATCGCTCTGCGGTACTTCCTTGCTCGAGAGCTGCAGCAGCGCGGTCAGCTTTGTATTCGCTACGTGGCCACTGAGGCCAACACTGCTGATGTGTTCACCAAGGCGCTTCAGCCTCGTGACCATCAGCGCTTCTGCACTCTACTAGGCCTTGTGCCTACTGGACCTCACTTGCTTACCTCTTGACTTTGCTTGTACTGTGATCACTATATATATCTATACCTGCATGTTTACTCTTGCTAGGTTGTGATCACTGTATCTCTGACTCTGTTATAAACCTGCATGTGAACTGGTCTTGTGACCACTAGCTTGTGCTCGGAATTTGTGTGGAATCCTCGAGATCCACCCTGAGCTTGTTGTTGCCTTGCTTTGCCTTGACTGGTCTTGTGACCCCTAGGTCTCCCCCACTTTGCCTATGGGGGTGTGTCAAACATTATATATGTTGGGTTTGTTAGGCTACAGTGGGTTAGCCTATATGGGGTACACAATTCTAGGGTTTGCTATTTGTACTGATTTCTCTGTTAGTTCAATCATTCCAGTCTCTTCTTTTGACAGCTCGTTCTCAAACCACTACGCAACGTGCTACTGTCTTGCGAAGTTGTTTTAAATTACTGTTGTGTTTTGACGCGATGAAATCACTCACATCTCTAGGGTTTGTTTTTCTTTTCTCTCCCTCGTCTAACTCATCCAGATCTGTTCCCGCAAGCTACTCCCACTCCCGCTCCACCTAACTCTTCAAGGTCAGAACTAATATCTCAACTATTACCGGTAGTTAATGGTCCAACTATATTTCCCTTAGTGTCGTATCCTACTCTTTGCGTATTGTGTTCGCCGTTTTAAAGTTGTGCAAGTTGTTTAAGATAGGTTCTCAATTTTCAGTTTATGTCGTAATAGTCTCTAGGTAGTCGATAGGCCTTGCATTTTCTCGTTTTCATTCGAATATTAAGTCAGTTTTCAATGGCTGCAGCCCTTTTTGCTACGTCGTTTTGAAGGGTTGCAGCCCTATTTGACGTAGATCCTAGTAACGACCAAATATACAATCCATCGATCTTGAAACTGATCTACTCCATGTGTGAATTTGAGGTCAATATTATATACTAGTCATTTGTACCCTTTTGCTTGTTTCTATGGTCGTAATGTCGTATTCTACTTTTTTACTAACGTGTTCGCCGTTTTTAAGCTATGCATGTTGTTAAAGATAGGTTCTAGGCTTTCAGTTAACGTCGTAATAGTCTCTAGGTCGTTGATAAGCCTGATTCCATTCTTGTTTATTCACTTTGCCGTTTTCAAGCTTATTTCGACCTTGCAGTGTGTCGTTTTCATTCAAATAGTGAGTCGGATTTCAAGGCTGCAACCCTTTCTGCTATGTCGTTTTGAAGGGTTGCAGCCCAATGCGATGTAGATGCTAGCAACTATAAATGATACAATCCATTGATCTACTACCTAGGTTATTTTGAAGCCGAAGATGATTGAATTTGATCTACTGCATCCGTTAATATCCTGTTTTTTTGTTTCTGTGATCCTCCACCTAACTGCAGGAAATGCTCAAGCACGTTGTTGTCTCAATTCCTTGTCTTTTTAACGGTGAGAACATGTTGGAAGAAAGAGAGCGAAAGAGAGGGAGAGTACGTAAGAGCAGCGGCAGAGGATATGGCACGGGTATAGGGAGAGAGCGTGCAAGAGAACGAAAAACGAAGTTGCTGTTTTGTTTAAATCTAGGTCAAATTAGAACTTAGTAATTAAGGTCTTTTTCTTCGTATCCTTTCGAATATAGATCTCTTAATGTCAGAATGAGGAATGGATGATGCATTGATGTTGGTTGGGGTACATATAGCTAACCCTAAGTTTTGTACCCCCTAAGACAAACCTCACTATAGGCTACAACATTTGACACACCCCCATAGCCTAAGTGAGGGGTGTCTAGCAGAACCAAACGAGTACGGTCACAAGACCAGTCCAAGAAACGAAGCTCAGGGTGGATCACAACGTCACCACACAGTCTGAGCACAAACAACAGTGGCCACAAGGCCAGTCCAAGAAGTAACAGAGGTATATAGAAAGCAAAGTAAACAGTACACTCAAGCCTAAGCAACACGAGAACCAGTGTCAACAAGGCCTAACTGCACACAGCACCTCTGGTGGTCACAAGGCGGAAGCGCCTTGGTGAAGATGTCTGCAGTGTTGGCCTCGGACTCCACAAACTCAAAGCGAGCCTGTCCACGCCTCTGCAACTCTCGCAGAAGAAAGTACCTGACGTGAATGTGCTTCACTCTGCTCTCCAGTCGTGGCTCTCGACAAAGGAGAATAGACGCCTTGTTGTCAGTGAACAAGGTCGGTGCAGAGCTCGGCCGCTCACCAAGGTCGGTGAGCAAGAAGGTCAACCAACGCAGCTCCTGTGCCGCCATGGCACCAGCGTAGATCTCAGCCTCAGCTGTAGAGGTCGAGACCGAAGAGGAGCGCGTGGACCGCCAGGAAACAGCTCCAGAACCCAGGCTGAAACAGTACCCCTGAGTAGACCTGTGAGTCTCAGCGTCGTCAGCGTAAGAGGAGTCACAGTGACCAGTAAGTACGACAGACTGCTGCCCTCCAAGAACTAGCCCCACGCCTGACGTCGTCGCTAGGTACTTCGCCACCCTCACAGCTGCTGTCCAGTGAACAGGACGGTGTCTCCCTGGCGCAACAAAGCGCGCAAGAACGCTGAGAGGGAAGGCGAGGTCCGGGCGAGTACAAGTCATCAGGTACATGAGGCAACCCACAAGCTCTGCGTAGGGACCACTAGGCTCGAACGGCTCATCAGGAAAGGGTCCAGTGAGTCTGTGGTCAACAGCAAGAGGTGTGCGCTATACTGTGGAGTGCTGAAGCCCGAACCGCTGAAGGACCTGCTGCACCATGTGCGACTGTGAAAGTGTAATGGTGCGAGCAGCTCTGTCCCTGGTGATCTGCAGGCCAAGGTAGTGGCGCAGCTCACCAAGATCAGTGCAGGTGTGTCTCTTCTGCAGTTCGGACTTCACGTGTGCCAAAGCAACCCTGTCAGGGGTGGCGAAAACAAGGTCGTCAACGTAGACCAGAACAAAGAAAGGTGTGGGGCCACGACGAACGAACAGCGACGGGTCAGCAGAAGACGGCTGGAACCCAAGGTCAGACAGGGTAGAACGCAGGGTGTCGTGCCACTCACGAGGAGCCTGACGAAGACCGTAAACCGGTCGCCTCAGCCTCCACTGGGTCCCAAGAGGGAAAGAGCCAGTGAAGGCAGAGGGACGACGCAACCAGACCTCCTCGTGAAGACTGCCCTGAAGGAAAGCAGTAGAGAAGTCAAGAGAGTGTAACTCGTAGTCTCTCTGTGCTGCTACGTGTAGTAACACCCGAAGAGTGGTCATCTTCGGGGTGGGCGCGAAGGTCTGAAAGAAGTCAACTCCCTCGCGCTGACTGAAACCTCTAGCCACGTAGCGTGCCTTGAAGACCGGAGGAGATCCTGGTGGCCGCTTCACCCTGTAGATCCACATGCCGTCGACTACGTTCGCCCCCGGAGGGGGAACCTCATCGACGTAGGTGCCTGTGGATCTGTAGGAGGCCATCTCTGCGTCCATGGCAGCTCTCCACTGAGAGGCCCAAGGCCCTGACACTGCCTCAGCGTAAGTGCGAGGAGTCGGAATGTCAAGGGCGTCGGGGTCACCCTCAGGGGCGAGGAGCATGGCACAGAGATGAGGGGAAGCGGCGGCCAGGAACTCTAGCTCAAACTGCCTGTCCTCTAGGGCGTCACAGCCAAGGGCAGACACACCCCCGACGGCCAGAGGACTGGAAGGAGGAGCAGCCACAAGAGCGGTGGCGAAGTCAAGGCGGCGGGTAGAGGCAAAGTCAGTGACTGCGGCAGTAAGAGCGGACACAGAGGACACAGAGGCACGAGGGTGAGTAACAAGCGAGGCGAGAACACGAGAGAGAAGAGGACGGTACGTGCGGTAGTAGTCTGTGACAGGAGTAGGGAGCGACGCAGTGAGAGCCGACTCAGGAGGAGACGGAAGCACAGACGGAGACGGACGAGGTGGACTAGAACGAAGTAAGGCAGTACGAAGGTCAGTGAAGGGAACAGGAGACGAGGGACGAGCACGAGGGGAGCGACGAGAGGCCCAAGTCTGAGAAGAAGGAGGGGACAACGAAGACTGAGAACGAGGGAAAACAGCGGGAGAGGGGTCAGGAGGAGGAAGCGAAGGACCAGAGACGGGAGGAGAGGGGGAGGAGGAAGGAGAGGGAGAGGGGAGACCAAGGGTCCGAAGACCCGAGACAGGAGGAGGAGACGGCAGCTGCTGCTGCTGCGGCTGCTGCGGCTGCTGCTGCTCCAGCGGCTGCTGCCCCTGCTGCTGTCGCTCCTGCTCCTCGAGCCGCTGCAACTCTCTCTCCTCTCTCTCCAACTCCAGCTGCTCCTCACGAGCACGGCGAACACGAGCCTGGAACCTGGTCGGGTAGGGGTGGGGGGAAGGAGTAGTGTCCGGGGCAGCGGCAGCCCCAGAGTCGACCTCCGAAGCACCAAGCACACCACCCCCAGAGGCAGCACCAACACCAGCTCCAGACCCAGGCTCTCCAGAAACCGAAGGAACACCCTCACCCCCAGACTCCGCACCAGCACCCCCAGACTCCGCACGACCAGTACCAGCCCCCGGAAGACAAGAGTCCTCTGCAACCCGCGGCTCAGCTCCAACTCCAGCACCCCCAGAACCAGAGACCTGTACAGGGACAGTCGCAGGACCAACCTCCCGAGAGGGAGCACCTGCAGGAGGCGGCGAGGAAGACTGTGGGGAGGGAGGCTGTACAGGGGGGGCTACCGAAGGGGGAGGGCTAGCCTGAGACACACCAGACGGGGCTGGACCAGGGGGGGGAGGCTGTACCGGGGGAGCAGGCGGGGGAGCGGCTGTCAGGAAGAGGGGGGGAGGAGGAACCGGGAGACCTCGACTGGGGTACCTGACGTAGTAGGGGGTGGACTCCTCGAAACGGACGTCACGGGAGTCAAAGAACCGGTGAGAGGGAGGGTGGTAAAAGGTGAAGTCAGAGGAGTCCTCAGGGAAACCAAGGAAGACACAAGAAACGGCGCGAGGCGAGAGCTTGTCCGCGGAGGTGTCGCGGACAAGAGCCAAGCACCCCCAGACACGAAACCTCGACGCGACACCAGGGGACCCTGTCCAAAGACTGGTCGGTGAAGCCTCCGGCCGAGAGACGCGTGGCCAGAGGTTCAGCTGGTGCGCGGCGTACCTGACTGCGTATGGCCACAGGAAATGGGGGGCACGGGCGTGAGTCAAGGAGGTGCGGGCAATCTCCATGACCAGGCCTATGCGACGCTCAGCAACCCCATTCTGCTGTGGGGACTCCGGAAGCGTCCAGGACTGACGAATGCCCTGTTCGCGACAGAATCCAGCGAGAATGCCGGAGCGAAACTCGCCCCCGCGGTCGGAGTGGAGACAGCTGACACGACGACCACGAGTGTCCTGGGTGGTAAGCAACCACCTGATCAGCGTAGAAGTCACCTCAGACTTCCTCGCCAGGGGGAACACTGTGGTGTAGCGGGAGTAGTCGTCAACGACCACCAAAAAGAAACGCTCACGCTCAGGGCCAGGGCGAGGAGAGGGGCCCCAGACGTCCAAGTGCAGTGTCTCAAAAGGCTCGGTGGCCGGACGAAGGGAGGAGGAGTGAGGGGTGGCACGCAGCCTACCCTCGACGCAAGGACCGCACGGTGGTGCAAGGGACGGCGGCAGCGACGGCAAGACACGCGGGAGACCTAAGACCAGACGCTGACTAGACATAGCACGCAGACGTGGAAGAGAAGGGTGTCCCAGCCGGTGGTGCCACAGAACGGTGGGGTGGGCAAGCGACCGACAGGAGCAAGACGCAGCGACTGGACTGGACGCGACAACCTGAGAGGACGGAACCACCTGGTGAGACGCAGGGAGGAGACTAGGGGGAGGGACAGGAACTGGGAGGAGGGGCTGCTGTGACGGCGGCCGCTGTGGCTGCGGCTGCTGCTGCTGCTGCGACTGCTGCTGCTGCGGCTGCTGCTGCTGCTGCTGCTGCGGCTGCTGCTGCTGCTGCAGTCGCTGCTGAGCGCGCGGGCCAGTGTGAAGAGTGTAGAGACCGGAGCCCGGCTCAGCAGCAAAAGTGGCGAGGGGCTGGTAAGAGTCCCCGTCAACACACACCGCAGTCTCTCCAGAAGGCTCAAACCACACACCCACGTGCTGACTCACAAGGGGTCGCACGCCCACCAAGTTCCGGGAGAACGAGGGGACGTGAAACCCAGTGAGAGACCCAGAAGGAGCAGCCGGACACGGCAAGGTGGTAGTGTGACGCGCGGTGACTGGTCCCGAAGTGGGATCAGCCAGCGCCACAGAAACAGGCGCAGGAAGAGGCGTAAGTGTCGTGCTGTCACGAAAGAAGCAGTGAGAGGCTCCAGAGTCCAGCGTGAACGACAGCGAACCGTCCTCTGAGGTAGCCGCTGGACTAGAGTCTACACAAGTACCTACACTAGCAACAGGCAACTGAGCAAGGCTAGCACCTAAGCTAACAACACCAGAGTAAGCAGAGTCAGAAACACTAGAGTCAACAACAGCATACATAGCATGAGGAGCACCAATCAGATCAACTAACTGCTCAGCAGACATGCCCCACAGAGCGGAGCCGTAGCGCTGAACCAGAGGAAGCCAGTCAAGGGCAGGACCGCCAACCCCGTAGGCCAACCGGACCGTGTCAGTGAGCTGAGCAAAGCACTGACCAGGGGGGTGAAAGCGGCCACAAGGGTGGCCCCGACGAGGACCTGTCAGAACCTGATAGGTGCAGGGAGGGTAAGCAGCACCACGCTGGGGCTGACGCAGCCCCGACCCCGGAGCCAGCTGCTGACGCTGCTGCTGCTGAGGCTGCTGGGAGGAGAGGGGCTGCTGGTGCTGCTGAAGCCGCTGCTGACGCTGAGCCTGGTACCACGCCGCTGCTCCACCTAGCGGGGCCGGCAGTACAGGAGACGACTGACGAGCTCGGGCGTCGCCACCACCAGCAGGCGCAGTGGAGTCACCAGCCGCTGCACGAGAGGTCTCTCCAGACGCTGCACTCCCACCACCGCCAGTCGCAACAGCACCCCCACTACCTCCGCTACCTCCGCCTCCACCTCCACCAGAACCACCTTTCTTGCCCCCCTTGCCGCGGGACCGCGACGCAGTCGTAGCAGCAGCTGCAGTCGCGTCAGTAGCGGCAGTGGCAAGAGAGGCAGTGAAGGTGGGTAACTGCGGGACTGTGCACCCGTGGAAGAGTGGGGGGGGCACAGCACCAGAGGCGGCAGCTACCGAGCGAAGGTTGCTCTCGACGTCCTTGAGCGCAGACTCAAGGACCTCAACTGTCAGCTCACTAGGGTGCTTCAGCAGGAGCGCGTCACGTACGGAGGCAAGGCGGTCAGGGAGGCTAGTGGCGATGAAATAGATAGTAATCGCCATGGGGGGAGGAAGCAGTGCAAGCTGTGCCTCAGTGCAAGCAGCGCGGTAACTAGCGTCGAGCGAGCGGAGGTGAGCGATCAAGTCAGCAGAGCGCTCAAACGAGGCGAGATCAGGAAACAGGAACGGGAGGAAAAGACGGCCAAGAGAGACAGTAGCGGGAGTAGAGTAGCGGGCCTTAATCGCAGTGAGGTACGCAGCAGCGGTGCGAACCTGAGTGAAGTGGACCTCCTCGGACTCAGGGAGGAGGCTGCTGAGTGCGATGCAGGCCGCAGCGTCACGTGACGTCCAAGCCGTCCTGTCAGCGCGCTGACGGGCAAAGCGAGCCGTAGCAGCATCGTCAGGGGCAGGACCTAAAGCGGCAGGCTCGGGGGGCTCGGGGAGGTCACCAGTAGCGTGCGACCAGAGGGTCTCGCCCCCCTGGACTTGACTCTCTAACAGACGGCGAGCACGAAGAAGCCAGACGGAAAAGTCAAGAGGTCTACCGTCAGCGTCGAAACGAAGAACTCGCGGAGTCGCCATAGCGAAAACTAACGCGAACGAGCAGGCGAGTAACAGCAGGAGGTAAGAGGCAAATTAGGGTGCAGGTGGGACTTAGTCGCAGCGGAAGAGCGGGCTAGAGCGACGGGCCAGGGCGTAGGGTCGACGGGACGGGGGAAAGGGCGGGCACGATGCGACGGGGCAGGGCGACGCGACGGGGGAGGGCGACGCGACGGGGGAGGGCGACGGGACGGGGAAGGGCGACGCGACGGGGCAGGGCGACGGGACGGGGAAGGGCGACGCGACGGGGCAGGGCGACGGGACGGGGCGACGGGACGGGGCAGGGGCAGGGCGACGGGACGGGACGGGGACGGGACGGGGCAGGGGCGACGGGACGGGACGGGGACGGGACGGGGCAGGGGCGACGGGACGGGACGGGGCAACGGGACGGGACGGGGCAGGGCGACGGGACGGGACGGGGACGGGACGGGGCAGGGGCGACGGGACGGGACGGGGACGGGACGGGGCAGGGGCGACGGGACGGGACGGGGCGACGGGACGGGACGGGGCAGGGCGACGGGACGGGGCAGGGCGACGGGACGGGGCAGGGCGACGTGACGGGGGGAAAGGGCGCGACGCGACGGTGGGAAAGGGCGCGACGCGACGGGGGGAAAGAGCGCGACGCGACGGGGGGAAAGGGCGCGACTCGACGGGGGGGAACGGGCGCGACGCAACGGGGGGAAAGGGCGCGACGTGACGGGGGGGGAAAGGGCGCTAGGCGACGGGGGGAAGGGCGCTAGGCTCGGCACTAGGCGCGGTAACAACGGAACCGGTACGAACGAGAGGTAGGATCAGGCTCGGGAGATACGAACGGAGAACGGAGGAACGGGATCCCACAGGATCCTAACCTAACTGATACCATGTCAGAATGAGGAATGGATGATGCATTGATGTTGGTTGGGGTACATATAGCTAACCCTAAGTTTTGTACCCCCTAAGACAAACCTCACTATAGGCTACAACATTTGACACTTAACTCAATCCTCAATTCCTTCCATTTTTTATAGACTTAATTTTATGTTCTTCATTCTTTCCCCTTTTGTAAGCCCTTTTCTGTACATGCACTTTCATTTCTTTTTTATTCTTCAACATCACCCTAAACCGCTTTGTTAGGTTTCTTTTGCCTTTTTTAATGACTTGTCTCAGTTTTTGCGCGTGCATATGTGTTCGTCTGTGTGTATGTGTCTTTACGTGTGCGTATGTATGTGTGTGTGCATTCATCCATATGTATATTGCATTGCATTAACAATGCATGTCTGTGTCTTTTAAAAAAATGATCAAACTATCAATTCCGAGAAGGTTCACTTGAACTGGATTTGATGGATTTTGATCATTTTTTTAGTTTACACAGATTGTGTTGTTTTATGTAGCAGTTGGATGATTCAGCAACTATGCTATCGACCTCCCCCCCATGCTAGGCAGGGGATGCGGTAGCATAGGGTCTGGGTCAATTAACTGTTACGCATTTTTATCATGCTATGCATCTATTTCACTAAAGTACCGAATATATCGTAATATTTCACCATGGTAGCACATACATTACATTTATGCATTTTTCATTAAATATATGGTTCATTATATCCATCCACATACTTCATCTATGCATAGTATAATCCGGCATATGCATTACGAGATACACAATCAAACGTTCACGGTAACATCATTTTGACAATATAGATTCAATCAAGGCAAACTAGAAGGAACACACTACGGCACGTGGTAAATTATGGTGGCAAATACGTAGCATTTAGTCACTTAGCTACCATTCGCTAGATATTTTCCGTCGTTTTTATAGAGGACTGAAAAAAAAAATTGTACATAACGATTGTAATAGGTTGCTCCGCAACCCAAAAAAATCCTTAATCTCCTGCTTACTGCGTGTACAACTGTTTCCGCCAACAATGCCCAACAGTAAACAGTTACCACTTGCAACACTCGTCTGTACCACTGTATCCGCCATTCTTCACATCACGACCCAAACTTAAGGCTCGGTTAGTAACCCGCGCTCCGGTCCTCCGCCTCGACATCTCCCAACAGCAGCGCCAAACCAATCGCGCACCCTCCATTCGGCTCGTTACCTTTACCACCCTATATTCGCTGATTCTTTCGTTTGATGTACTATTTTGCCTCGATAGTGCAATCATCGTTCGCTCAATCGATTTCACTTGTAACTAGGAATGATTAAATATATATATTTCTTTTTATCGATGATGTACTGCGTTGCTCGCCTACAACCTTTACCGGTTGTTTCAAAAGTGCAGGCTCGGTCCTCGACCCCGAGGCTACGTCATGATGCCCTTGGCTATCGATGGCCAACCTGCACCCAAATGAATAGTCCACGTAGCTAGATTTCTAGTTATATTGTCTCCTCACTTTCCTTGAAGGTCTAGTGACAACTAGCATTTTATTATCTATAACGAAAAACAGTTTCAGCCAGTGAAGAAGGTATTTGCTGAGGCTGGGAGGTGGCGCTGGTAACCACACTATCCAAGTATGCAATGAAAGTCCAATTCATTACTATAAATGCTAGTTTCCTTCATTGTTTCATCTTTCTGTATAGACAATCTCTTTATTAAGTCTTCCACTCACTCTGTTTAGTAGAACTCATAACAACGTAAAAGACTTGTTATTCATTCAGATTTGAGCCTTTTAATAGCCTGGCGTCGCTGAAGGCCCCTCGGACCTAGGTGTCTTTGAAAGAAGCACGGTCAATTCGAACTGCGATCCAATCTTCGCAGTGCGTGTTTGCAAATGTGATCTTTTCGGGCAGAACCACGCGGCTGCCCGTGTTTAGGGTTGGGGCTCCCCGTGTTTAGGGTTGGGGCTCCCCGTGTTTAGGGTTGGGGCTCCCCTAATCGCATGCCATCCAGATGGGGTTTATTTTTTTCTGACCGCGGGCAGATAACGACCCCTCAGCTTCTTCCACTGGGGATCGCATTTGCGAACCGCGCTGGCTAAATTGGATTGCAGCTGAAGTTGTCCCAAAGAAGCAGCTTCTGTGCCACGACACTGACCATCTTTCGCCTTTGATTGGCCACGCACTTGCCCAGGTGACGTGTCCCTGACATTCGGAGGATGGAATGTAGGTTGAAAAGCTGAAGTCACAGCCCCTCGCTTAGGCCTGACTCCACCTCACTCAAACACGGCACATCGATCCGAAACTCCTGCTGCTCCTCTCAAAACCGCCACCTCTGCAGAATCTTCACCACAAAAACGATTTCTCTTCCGTGTCAATCCCTCGGCCTTTTTCAGCCACCTTACCCGAATTCGCTTTCTTGCCAAACTCCGCCTTTCATGGCCATATCCTTTGGCATTGCGCCTCTTTTTAGCTACCAGAAAGTCTGGTGCATGAGATAGTTATTGTTGATTCTGTGACGAAACCTAGTTCCGACTAGCTACAGTTACTTCGGAGCACACTCTCGACCGAAATCCTCTGTTAGCTCGCATCATGCGAACGCCCTCTATTTGCGGCGGCGAGCGCGCGAGGCTGCCGGTTAGCCTTCCATGTTCGAGCAGAATAGCGGGAGTCGCAGCCGCGGGTCAGCTGTACGCGGATCCACTGAGATCACTCCGAATAAAGCGGCTACGATCGTCGAATTTCAACTGCCGGAAAGGCCGCTACGGGTTCTCACCTAGCGAAAACGGCGCTACCAGTGTCCACGTGTCTCTCCGGGATAAGCTGTTTCGCGGCGCGTCTGCTCAGAGCCGGCACTGGGATTGGGTAGAAAACGATTCTGGCGGCGATAATTCGTTCAGCGGCGGCGATAAAGGCGACGATCCTTTTGGCACCGACAATTTCTATAGCCCTGGTGATTCCGATAGTGACCGAAGGGTTTCCTATGGCGGTCATAGAGCCTTTGAATCCGATAAAAGCTACGGCCAGGATTCACTGCGCGCCGATGACAGGTCGCCCGTGATCCCTCACGACGTCGCCAAAGCCCTGGTGGACAGCTTGGCGAAGGTTCACGAAAATGCACGCGATGATGATGACGAGGTTGAAGCTGAGGTCGATGATGATTCTGATGACGGCATAGCGGAGGGGAACGGCGGGAACGACGCTGCTCGTGACAAGTCGAGTTTCGAGGCAACTCGAGTGCTAGCTGCAGACAAGGCTGATCCGCGGAAATCGTCTCGCACAAAGACGAGCAGTAGCAGTAACCACCCCGCTGGTAACCACCATAAAGGATTCGGAATTCTCCCTGGGCATGTTAGAAGCACTGACGAGGAGTTGGCGCTGAGTTCCTGGAGCTGGCCTGCTGAGTCAGCTTTTGCTGACTCAGCATCTTCTCGAGACACGTCATCCGTTGCTGCGGGTGAGGCAGCGGTGGTGCGACAGCTGGCGTTCAACGGTTGGTCGTCTGATGTGGTTCGGGTTGCCCAGCCGGGACGCATCGGTCCTCGCCGAAAGGCATCGATTGCAAGTGAGTTGGTTCCGGTTCTGGTGGTGCTGGTGATGGTAATGGTGATGGTGGTGGTGATGGTGATGGTGATGGTGATGGTGATGATGGTGTTGATGGTGTTGATGGTGATGGTGATGGTGATGGTGATGGTGATGGTGCTGGTGATGGTGTGATGGTGTGATGGTGTGATGGTGTGATGGTGTGATGGTGTGATGGTGTGATGGTGTGATGGTGTGATGGTGTGATGGTGTGATGGTGTGATGGTGTGATGGTGTGATGGTGTGATGGTGTGATGGTGTGATGGTGTGATGGTGTGATGGTGTGATGGTGTGATGGTGTGATGGTGTGATGGTGTGATGGTGTGATGGTGTGATGGTGTGATGGTGTGATGGTGTGATGGTGTGATGGTGTGATGGTGTGATGGTGTGATGGTGTGATGGTGTGATGGTGTGATGGTGTGATGGTGTGATGGTGTGATGGTGTGATGGTGTGATGGTGTGATGGTGTGATGGTGTGATGGTGTGATGGTAATGGTGTGATGGTGATGGTGTGATGGTGATGGGGTCTGGTTCTCCACCTTTCATCCCCCTCTCATCTCACACCCCTTCCGCTCTCCCCCCTGCTGCTCCCTCCCTTGCCCCGATCCCTCAGAGCCGCTTCTGATCGCCTCCTTGCTGCGTGGTGCTTCGCTGCTGTACAGAGGGACTCTCCTCCTCCTCTCATTCCCCTCTCCTCTCCCTCTCACCCGCTTCCTTTCCCCCCTTGCTCGTCCCTCACTTGTTCCCTTCCCTCAGAGCCTCTTCTGATCGCCTCTCTGCTGTGTGGTGCTGCGCTGCTGTACCGAGGGACTCTGAGCGACAGAGGTGCGTGTGGGAAGTGTGATCGGGGTAGTTGTTGGATAACCAGTTTTAGAGTCGACTCTATATTCCCACATAGCTTCTTCTCATTGCCTCCCTGCTGTGCGGTGCTGCGCTGCTGTACAGAGGGACTCTGAGCGACAAAGGTGCGTATAGAATGGGTGATTGTAGAGGGTGAACCGGTTTGTGAATGTGGGAAGGTCGATAATAACAAATTTTAGAAGCGGCAGAGAGTGTGATACATGTATGGGAAGGGTGACAGTAGTGAGAACTAGAATGTGCGTGTAACAAAGGTTAATCGAACGTAGATGTGGGGTGGACCAGAGCAGGGAAGGGGTGGGGTGGGAGGGAGAGACGAAGGGGAAGGAGTTTAGGGAAGGACAGGAGAGAAACGGTTTAGGGAAGGACAGGAGAGAAACGGTTGAATTACAAAGGAGCAAAAGGTTTTGCCAGAGCAGGGGCGAGGAGGTCAGGGAGGGGGAAAGGAGGTCAGGGAGGGGGAAAGGAGGTCAGGGAGGGGGAAAGGAGGTCAGGGAGGGGAAAAGGAGGTCAGGGAGGGGGAAAGGAGGTCAGGGAGGGGAAAAGGAGGTCAGGGAGGGGAAAAGGAGGTCAGGGAGGGGGAAAGGAGGTCAGGGAGGGGAAAAGGAGGTCAGGGAGGGGAAAAGGAGGTCAGGGAGGGGAAAAGGAGGTCAGGGAGGGGAAAGGGAGGTCAGGGAGGGGAAAAGGAGGTCAGGGAGGGGAAAAGGAGGTCAGGGAGGGGGAAAGGAGGTCAGGGAGGGGGAAAGGAGGTCAGGGAGGGGAAAGGAGGTCAGGGAGGGGAAAAGGAGGTCAGGGAGGGGAAAAGGAGGTCAGGGAGGGGAAAAGGAGGTCAGGGAGGGGGAAAGGAGGTCAGGGAGGGGGAAAGGAGGTCAGGGAGGGGGAAAGGAGGTCAGGTAAGAGGGGAGTGGGTGGGGTGGAGGAGGAAAAGGGGATGGAGTTGAAAAAACTGCTCTCATTTAGATGTCTCATTCACTCCGTCTCGTCCCGCCCTCTCTCTCCCTGCAGGCATCCCTCTGCTACACTCACATCGTGATTCAGTCACCACCACCTCCAAAGCTCATGAAGGTGAAACTCTAGTCTCTTGATGCAACTACCTCCAGTGATTCCAGTATTTGTTTAATCTTTTCTTTTTTTGGGAGGGGGCTTTCTCCTTTATTCCTGGCAGATGTGTCATCTCAAGAGACTGATAAGGAGAGACGAGGGCAGAACGCAGGTGCAGAAGCAGCAGGAGGGGAGGCAGAGGAGGGAGGAGAGGAGCAGAGGAGAGACGGAACAGGGGAGGAGGCGAGTGAGGGAGGGAGTGTGAAGGGAGAGGGGAAGGAAAGCAGAGAGGGAGAGGGGGGGAGTATTGTGGGGGAGGGGAGGTGGCGGGGAGGGGGGTGGAGGTTGGGGGATGGAGAGGGGAGGTGGTGGGAAGGGGGAGGGAGGAGAGGATGAGGGTGGTGGTGGCGCCTCATGTCAACCCAGAGCATGCTCGCATGTTGGAAGGATTGAAAGAGCTTCAGGTGAGATACAGGGATTCAGAGTGACAGCAGACAACGTGGGTGGTGAGAGGTGGCTCAAAACACGGCTGGAAAGGGGAGGTGGAATCGGATGAGGTGAATCCGGAGCATGCTCGCATGCTGGAAGGACTGAAAGAGCTTTAGCTGATTATGGGGAGGTTGTTTACGGATTTGACTTTGGAGGGAGGGAAGGATGAGGAGGGTGGTGGGTGGAAGCAACCTAAATGTCAACTCTGAGCCTTTGCACAGGGGCGTAGTTATTTTTTAAACTATATTGTGTAAGTTATTTTCCTGTACGGGGGTATAGTTATATCCTGTATCCCCTCCCTATACCAAATAGATGGTTTTTTGCTCAACACCTCTCCACACCTGCACCCACCAATCAGGTGATAGATGCTGACGTGGCACCAGCTGGCATATGCACGAGGAGGGAGTTTGCCACGTGGCTCATGGCGTTCAGTGAGAGGCTCTCGGCCTCGCCCACCGATAGGGTGTATCCCGCCATGTTTATAGAGGGGATATCGGAGCAGGCCTATGCTGACGTGGCACCTGATGACAAAGACTATGCCGCCATTCAAGGTGAGACTTTCCTTTGTTTTGAACTAGCCTTTTATAGCACCCTTGTTTTAATCTCTCCTGTAGCTATCACCGTCGTTTCCTTCCTCTTTTGGTGTTGATGACTTCCTCCTTTGAAGATATATCTCTCCTTGTTTATACTGTCACACCAGAAATCCTCCCTGTTTATGTTTGAGGTTCCCCCTTTTTTTTTTTTACAGCCCTTTAGTATCACGGTTTTTTTTATTCATCCCGCATCGCTCTCTCATATCATCTCCTCATCTTTCCCATACCATTCTGCGATTTCATCCTCTGGATCCACCTATTTCAGGGAGTTTTTGAGAATTCTCAAAAACTCTCATCTTTCCCATACCATTCTGCAATTTCATTCTCTGGTTCCTGCTATTCTTTCCGTACCCCTCTCGCAGGTCTGGCCGAAGCTGGCATTTTGCCGAGCCTGTTGGGTCGGAGGGACGAGGCAGGAGGGGCCGCAGCAGGGGAGAGCGCAGGGGAGGGTGACACTCTATTTCGGCCAGACAGGTGAAGATTAGGGTTGTGGTTTGGACAGGGGCGCTGTAGCCAAATCAGTATAGGTCAGCCCAGGCATTGCAGCGGAGATTGTAATGGGTTGACAGTTGCAGTATTAACTGTTCCCTCTTCACACACACATGCTCACACACACACACGCGTGCGTGCACACACACACGCTCACGCGCGCTCAGCTGCTATCGATGGATGCTTCAAGTCTGGCTTTTGAGTCGACTCAGAAGTCAGATTTGGAGGATTGGATCCCTCGGGATGGTGGGCACGCTCAGCTGAGCACTACCGATGGATGCTACCGATGGATGCTTCAAAAGTGGCTTTGGTTTCCTGAGAACTGAAGGGAGACAGCTTGTTTGAAGTGACTGATTGGTTGTTCCTGTTCTGTTCCTCTCATCTCTCCTTTCAGCTTGAGAGACAATGACCTGACTGACTTGCCTGCATTGTTCACCTACCTCCCCTTGACGTGAAACACTTTTTCTCTGAACTCTTTCCTTTTCTTCCCCTGCCCTCTTTTCTCTCTCACATTTGTCCATTGACTCGGAAGATGTCCCCTGTTAACTCTCTCTCTCTCCTTTCCTTAACTCTCCCCGCCATTTTTTTATCTCTCTGAAACCAGTCCCTTGACTCGTCAGGATCTGCTGACGTGGCGCTTTGCTCTGGAATACTCCCACCTGCCGCCGCCCGACCTTGCCGCCCTGCGCCACACGTGTGGGCTGATCGACGCCGCCCGAATCTCCCCTGCCGCCCAAAGAGCCGTCTCTTTTGACCTCCTGCATCACCGAGGGGGGATGGAGCACCAACCGCAGGGGGAGGGGGCGGGTTTGGGGGAGGGTCTGGGGCAGGCCGGGGGGAAGGGGCAGGGGGAGGGGCAGGGGAGGGGACGAGATTTCAAATCTGCTGCTAATGCAGCAGTTATTCCCTTGGTGTTTGGTAATGTTCGTCGGTTTGACCCCTTAAAGCCTGTTACGCACGCTCAGGCTGCTGCGGCGCTCACGTTCGGCCGAACCTATGAGACGGTGAACGAGGCTGCGGTTCGGGTGGAGGTGGCAGAGGCTCGGAAGGCAGCTGACGTGGCGAGGCAGGAGGCTGAGTCAGCGAGAAGGGAAGCAGCGCGATTGGCCGAGGAGGTGGAGAGAGTGAGAAGGGAGGAGGAGGAGGGAGTGAGGCGGGAGAAGGAAGAGAGGGAGCTTGTGGAAAGGGAAAGGGAGTCACTAAGGGAAGAGGTTGAGAGGCTCAGAGCTGAGATTGTCAGGTTTAGCAGCAGTGGTGGTGATGGTGAGGGTGAAGGGAAAATGAATAATGCAAGAGGGGGGCTGGAAGGAGGGGAGGAGGAAGAGGCAAGTGGGGTAGCAGGTGCAGGGGAGCGAGGTTTTGGCAGCGAGAGGGAGGCAGGAGGAGGTGCGAGTGTGGAAGGTGGCACTTCTGATGGGATGGAGGAGGGCAGGTGAGTCACTTTTGAGAATTCTAAAACGCGTTTGTCAGTGAGAGGGAGACAGGAGGAGGAGGTGCGAGTGTGGAAGACAGTTCTTCTGATGGGACGGAAGAGGGCAGGTGAGTGGTGCTATGGCTGGGATGGTTGTGCCTGCTTGTCTTGCAGCAGGGAAAGTCGGAATTCATAAGTTAGGTGGAGGAGGTGCGAGCGTGGCTGGTGGGCGGATTTGATCCAAAAGCGAGCAGAGGAGGCACAGCACGTGTGAGGTGCCACCAGCAGAACGAGGTGACTTTTGAGTCGACTCAAAAGTCATCCAAAAGAGAGCAGAGGAGGCACAGCGCGGTGCCACCAGCAGAACTCTCCTTATTCCATGTCAGAATGCAATTCCATGTCAGAATGCAATCCCATGTCAGAATGCAATTCCATGTCAGAATGCAATTCCATGTCAGAATGCAATTCCATGTCAGAATGCAATTCCATGTCAGAATGCAATTCCATGTCAGAATGCAATTCCATGTCAGAATGCAATTCCATGTCAGAATGCAATTCCATGTCAGAATGCAATTCCATGTCAGAATGCAACTCCATGTCAGAATGCAATTCCATGTCAGAATGCAATTCCATGTCAGAATGCAATTCCATGTCAGAATGCAATTCCATGTCAGAATGCAATTCCATGTCAGAATGCAATTCCATGTCAGAATGCAATTCCATGTCAGAATGCAATTCCATGTCAGAATGCAATTCCATGTCAGAATGCAATTCCATGTCAGAATGCAATTCCATGTCAGAATGCAATTCCATGTCAGAATGCAATTCCATGTCAGAATGCAATTCCATGTCAGAATGCAATTCCATTCCCCTTCCTTTTTACTCTCGCTCACACTCGCTCTTGTTTTTTTCATTACTGTGTGTGCGCCCCCCCTCCCCCATTACAGCGTCCAAGAACCCGCTATTCTCCCCCCGGGCTGGTGGGCGGATTTGATTCAACAGAGAGCAGAGGAGGCAAAACACGGCGTTGCCAAGAATCTTGTGAGAATCAAAGAACGTTCTGCTGACGTGGCGTCTGGTCTGGCTGCCAGCGTGGCGGATGGCAGCCTGCAGCGGTCGTTGAGTAAAAGGACAGAGGAAGCTGCCAGGAAGGTGCAGGAGCTGCAGAATGCTGATTTGAAGGAAGGTGCGAGGATGGTGCGGGAGCGAGTGGGAGGGGAGGTGGCAAGGAGGATAGAGGGAGTGAGGGAGGTAGGGGAGAGGATGGTGGCGATGGGGAGGGAGGAGGCAGATAGAATGGTGAGGGTGGGTAGAGGGGTGATGGAGAGGGGAGTGAGGGAGATACGGGAGAAAGCGGGATACAGGTGGGCTGCTGGGAAGATGGGCAGAGGTGGTTCCATTGGCTCTGCTGTGGCTGCTGCTGGTTCTGGGAAGAAGCAGTGAGCACGCATCAGGGCTTGAGCATGAGCAGCTTATCCGAGTAGGATACAGATGGGCTGCTGGGAGGGTGGGCAGCAGTGGCTCAATTGGCTGCTGTGGCTGCCGCTGCTGCTGGTTCTGGGAAGAAGCAGTGAGCACACATCAAGGCTTGAGCATGAGCAGCCTATCCGAGTAGGATACAGATGGGCTGCTGGGAAGAAAGGCAGCAGTGGTTCTATAGACTCTGCGGTAGCTTCTGCTGCTGTTCCAGTGAAAAAAGCAGTTAACAGAGTGTTTCCTTCTCAGAATAACCTGGGTGGACTAGTGTAGGCTCTATTTCGAAGAACCCTGTGTTCCGGTGTAGTGTTACATACAGTGCTGTGTAGATGGGCACAGGCGGGTGGCTGGTTGTAGACTCTGGTTACGCATGGCATTGGAAAATATGTGTAGTGCTGAATTGCTTGACAATCCATGTACCGACCTCTGTTTACAAGTGCACTTCTTCTCAGAACACTTGGTGGTGTTGCATATATTGGCCACTAATTATTTTTTTATTTGAGCATTGTATCCTTAATGTACGTGATATAATTTCGACCACATCACATGTTTGCAGTTAGGGATGATATTCTACATACTGCGGGCGCTTGTAGTGCCATTAAAGATCGAGATAATGCCAGCATTTTATTGGTAGGGTGGTACCTTAATTGATGCTACAACTAGGAGAAGTTATGTTTGATAGTTTTGTAAAAACCTCGTGCTCGCAAATTTAGTGCCTATTGTGCTTTTCTTCACAGCGCGACATTTTGTTCTGTGGTGGTGCGCCACAACCTCGATGGAAGGGCTCATGCCAGGAAACAAACGAGTTCCCATTTTCCAGCCCCTCGAAATTCCATCTTACATCGTGGACAACCCACCTTACTAAGCGCGAGCGCGTGACTACCCAGAGTGTGGCGAATTTCCTGACTTCATATCCAGTACTTAGCAATCCCCGGTCACGCTGATGGCACCTGTCCCTAACTACCACACCCCAATTCCCCACCCCTCGATAATCTTACTGCCCTTTCCCACCTTTTCGCTGCTCTCCACCTCTCCGTCCCTCCTCCCTCGGGCTTGCCCATCCTCCCTGCCGCTATCCCGAGTTGCCCGCTATCCCAGGTCACCTGCTCTTCCCTGTTCTGTTGCTCCCCCATCCGCTCTGCTGCTCCCCTCGCTGCTGCTGCTGCTGCTGCTGCTGCTGCTGCTGCTCCATTTTCATCCTTTCTGCTCAACCTTTCTCTCCTTTCCTCCCTCGAGCTCCGCCTTGAGCCGTTTCTCTTACCTCACTCCCTAACTAGTATTACCCCGTCTTCCGCGGATCCAGCTGCGGTCGGGCAAAATGGTACGCTTCGGAAACTCATGTGGCTTCTATTTCGTTTTAGCTTCGCGCGGTTCGATAGGGTTCCGTGACCTGGTTTTAGGGTGTAAGCGTTGTCATGCACCAAATTTAGGGTTAGATGTTTCAGCGCTTTATGTAGTCTCATCGACAAATGCTTCGCTTCGTGCCGATATATATCGAATGCCCCCATGGCCTGGGTTTGTCATGACCTGGAATTCTTGCCATTAGCCCCGACATCTTGGTTCCCGTGGCCAAGTTAAGCTTAGAGGCTTGCCTGGGACATTTCACAGAGTGTCTATGTGTCTCAAGCCCCGTCTATAGCTTGCTTCATGATCGGCGTTATGGAGTCATCTCCAGCCGGACTGCTGAGTATTTTGCCGGGCGAGTGGACGGATTGTACAGTGTATCGGTAGTGTCCCGGGCCGTATCCCGCCTGTACCGACGGTGCTACACGACTCAACTACTACAGCTTCGTGCAGTTTCGCAGAACCGATGCGTGAATCAACTACTTGAAGCAGACCGAAACTGATTTATAATCTTGCTCTTTAGATTCAATTTTCATCCTATCCCGTTTTCCCTGTCTTTTCCTTTCGTGATTACAGTTGGTCCCTAAAAAGAACCGTCTCTTGGTCTACAAGTACCTCTTCAGCGGTGAGTCCTCCTCCTCGTTCCCCAACTCCCCGCGTCCCTCTCCACCTCTTTTGAGGTATTTTTTCCGTGGTGCTCCCCTCTCCCCTCCTCCCTCATCCCATTCTCCCTTCTTCTGCTCCACTCCCCATCCTGGCGCTCCTGTGAACCCTTTCGTGCTCTCAGTGACGCTTAAGTTACCCTGACCTGAACCTTTTAACGGATCCCTAAGTGGAGAGAAAAGGGAGAGCGGAGGGAATGGGGAGACAGGGGGGGTGGAGGAGAGAGGTGCTCAAGGAGAGTGAACGCGGGGCATAGTGAGTGAATCAAAGCGGGTTAATACGACGATGTCTTGTGCGGACAGAGAAAGGGAATGGGAAGAAAGTGAAGAGGAGTGGCTGGGATGGGAGAGGAGGAGAACGGGATTGCTGGGTCCTTGTCACTTGGACCAGAAGATCGCTTGATCAACCTTGGACGGTCATTACGGAGAGGCAGCGGAGTCGGACAGACTTTCGCGTAAGGCGGAGTTGGTTGCATGATTAGCTCGACGGAGATCGTATTAGTCAAGATCGGGCATACGTTCCGTACGTGTTCGAGATGCTCTAGATTCGGTGGTTGGCGGTGCGCGTGACTATTCAAGGTTTCGTGTGGGGTTTGCCGTTAGTTAAGAGATTTAAGATTCGTTGTTCGACCACGTGCGACGAAGCTCGGTCCGTCCCCTCTCCGTGTGACGTGCGCGCCTAATCCGCGAATTTTAGCGTGCAGAGCCAAACTGAGCGATCAGACATGAATCGCATCACTCGTTGTGCTCTCCTCAGTGCACTGACGCTCCGTGCAAAAAAAACGCACTACGACAAGCCGATCTGTTTAGACGTTTCGGAAGTTGTCTTCGAGGCGCCTCTAGTAACGGCCACGACGGGTTTGGCTTTTATCGTTGTGACGCGGGATCAGGACTTTCTGCTGCTAGGGTGGAACGCTTAGTGCGAGCCTCGAATTATCGAAACAGGCAAGCTGCATAAGCCGAACACGTCACCTTGGAGACCGTTTCGTTTTACTTTCCTGACGAAATGGGATTTTTTTTTTGCCGGCAGAGGAACGCGTAGTGGAAGCATAGTGCGGACTAAACGAGTCCATCATTAAGTTCCGCGAGAGTTGATCTATCCAGACAGAACAGCCGGTTTCCACCCGCGTCGCCCCCGCTTCCCCCCTACCCACGCTTTGACCGTCGCGCCTCGTCCCCTCTTCCCTGGATTGAGTGCTCTCTTCTTCCCTCTTCTCCCTCTGCGGCAACCGCGGCAGTTGCCACCGCAAGCACCCTAACCTCCCGTTTTCTTGCTGTTTTCCCACCCCCTTCATTCGCCGTTTCCCTTTTCGCCCCTCCCGCGGCCCCTCCTCCGCCTTTTTCTCCCCAACCCTTCACAGCAGAGTGAGGCCTGTTCGCGGAGAAGGATTTTAACTTGCCCAAGCACCTCGAGCTCCCAGCCTCTTTCTTGTCGTCTCAGTTCTTCCTTCCTCCTTCCCTTTTCACCCTGTGTTGTCCTCTCTTCCCCATCCTTCTGCATCAGAGGGAGTCCTGTTCGCGGAGAAGGACTTCAACCTGCCCAAGCACCCCAGCCTCCCAGCGTCGTCTCACCTCTTTCCTTCCCCGCTTCCCCCTGTTTACCGCTCCTCCGCCCCCTTTCTCCCATCCCTTGGCATCAAAGGGAGTCCTGTTCGCGGAGGACTTGAACCTGCCCAAGCACCCCAACCTCCCAGCGTCGTCTCACCCTTTTCCTTCTCCGCTTCCCCCTGTTCGCCACTCCATCGCCCCCTTTCTCCGCTACCTTACCATCAGAGGGAGTCCTGTTCGCGGAGAAGGACTTCAACCTGTCTTAGCACCCCGAGCTCCCCGCGTCACCTCACCCTTTTCCTTCCCCGCTTCCCCGTGTTCGCCCCTTCACTGTCCCCCTATCGCTTCAGAGGGAGTCCTGTTCGCGGAGAAGGACTTCAACCTGCCCAAGCACCCCGAGCTCGAGGTCCCCAACCTGCAAGTGAGTGCTCCGTTCTCTGTCAGCATCCCAAGCCTTCATAACTCGTGTCTCGGGCTCGAGACTCCTAGCGTTTAATATAGAATTTCGCAATACCATGGCCTGTTATTCCCCCCCATGCCCCAACACAACCCAACTTTCGTCCCTCCCTCCCTCCCCCACCCCCCCCCTCAACCCCCCCTCCCCCTCCCCCTCCCCCCTCAACCCCCCCTCCCCCTCCCCCTCCCCCCTCAACCCCCCCCCCCTCCCCCTCCCCGCAGGTGATCAAGCTGATGCAGAGCTTCAAGTCGAAGGGGTTTGTGCGCGAGACGTTCGCGTGGCGGCACTACTACTGGTACCTCACCAACGAGGGCATTGAGCACCTCCGCGACTACCTCAACCTCCCCTCCGAGATCGTCCCCGCCACCCTCAAGAAGTCCTCCCGCCCGCCCGGTCGCCCCATGGGCGCTGGTGGAGACCGCCCCCCTCGGTATGTCAACGCTTGTCAACTTCGGTCAACGCTGGTCAACGGAGGTCAAATGTTGAGTAAGAGCCTTTTGAGATCATTCCCGTCACTCTAAAGGATCCTCCCACCCGCCCGTGCATTCAATGGGCGCTGGCGGCGACCGCCCTCCCCGGTAAGTCAACACCCGTCAACGTCAGTCAACATGTCAATTTCGCTCTATGGGCGCTGCCTATCCCCACTCCCAAAACCAAGGACCATTTTTTTTAAATTATTATTATTATTATTTTTTCGAACTGGCTTGTTTTTCACCCCCCATTCATCCACCCTCCACCCGTTTCAAGGGTGGTCTGGCCTGTAGTTTGTTGCATGGGCAATACTGGTTCCCTTCCTGTCTCCTTCCCTGTTTGTCCCTCCCACATACTCCAGCCGTTTCGAGGGTGGACGGGGCTATGGTGACCGCGAGGGATACCGTGGGTACGGTGCCGGTGGTGACGACAAGGCCGGTGCTCCCGGTGCCTACAAGCCAGCCTTCAGGGAGGTGAGCCTTCGTACACCGATTTTTTTAAGAAAGTATGAAAAAAAAATTGAATGTGACTGCAAGGAGCAAGTGTGTGTATGGTGCTGCTGTACACCTGTTGCAATCCGTCTGAGCCTTACGGTTCTGATCTGTCACTCCTGCAGCTTTTAAGTGAGCCCAGGTTCTGTTTCTAGGGTGTTGGCTGCTTAGCTTCTGAGTATACTTCATAATTTTCTGAGCATGCAATTTTCCTGAACTGTTTTGCAGGGTGGCGGCCGCGGTGGCTTTGGCCGTGGAGCTGGGGGATATGGTGGTGGCGACTATGGCAGTGCTCCCGGTGCTCCTGGGGCTCCTCCTCCCGCTGTGTAAATGAGACACGGGCATGCACTTTTGGGCCAAAATGAGTCAGGCCATTTCGCAAGGATTAGATGCCTCAGTACGGCCGTACCCGCTCCTGCTCAGTTTTGTGGGTGGGGCGAGTTTTACAAGCCCCTTCTGGTGCAATAGTATGAGGATGGGCTCAAGTGTTGGCATTATGTTTCCTGGTTAAGCTGTGATGCTAATGTTTCTCATCTCGAAGTGTAATGAAGCCAGAACCTTGAGTGGAATTCACCAGCAATGCCTAAACAGTTGAGGATATTCAGTGAGGTCTATTAAAACACATTGTAGTTGTGTTTGTACCTTAGAAAGCTTGGTCGGGTGGTAGGCTTCGCGTTATCGAGATAGCCGTTATCGAACTGCGTTGGATGCTGCTTGCAGTCGGACGAGACAAGACGCCTCGACACCGCACCGCTCCGCTTTTGACCAGGGTACAGTGTGACCAACTTCAGTCTGCAGCCAATCAATGTCATTCCCGCGTGCACTTTGTCACAATCTCCTCGTGCCAGCGACTGAAGGTGAAGGGAACCATACCTAGGCCTCGCGCAGCCAAACTAGTTCTGACTGCTCCGAGCCTGTCCAAACAGGTATGTCACGCCCCGGTAGGCTCGAGCAGCGGCAGACCGTGTCGCAGCATTCAGATGTTAGGCACGTGTCCTCAATCTGACGGCAGAGATGATTTCTCCTCGTTTGTCCTGTGAAGCTTGATATCATCCTTCGCCACAAGATTTCCAGCCTTGAGCTCACCTGATTTTCCCTTTCCTGCCTTGGGCTCATCCTGTTCCTCCTATGTATTTCCACAGAAATTAGGAAGGTCTGATTGCCAGCAGAGCTGATGGCCATGGTGTTGGGTAGTTGATTGTCAGAACGACCACAGAGTAGTAACAAATTTTTCGGGGGCGTTGTGGTTAGTTCTTTCTTTTGTCCTGGTGCGTAAGTGGCAATTTAGAAGCGTCTATCCCGGCCGTTACGAGTCGCTCCTAGAACAATTAAACTCTTAGAATTTCTTGCAAGCTACACGTTACAGCCGACGCTTCCTCTTACATGCCCAGAACTAGTCACACAATAAGGTCCTTTGTTACGAGGTCGCAGGGACACGTAAGACCAGCACTAGGATCGATCGGGTCCGAGCCATGGCGTCCGCGATTTTCAATAGAATGGACCTCCTAACCTGCTTCGTCTTCCTCCTCGTGCTCGGCCTGAGTCAACGCTTCCACCTCCTGCCGTCCGTCCCGTCGCCGGAAGAGTTCCTATCCGACGCGATGGTCCACCAGTCGGGGATTTCAGTGGCCGACGAACCCTCGAGGGGGCCGCGGAGGCGTTTGTTAGAAGCTTCGTCACAGGTACCGCATGTTCCGTTTCTAGTCTTCCTCACCCCTTTTTTTTCCTCCACGACGCTCCCTGTGGTGGTGATCCCTTCGCTAGTCTCCTCGAGAGTCATTGCTCTATTTGTTTAACGATGCCGACGCTCCCTGTGGCGGTAATTTAACGAGGTAGAATAAGGAGTCGTGAGCTATGTCAGCAAGGTGTGCGAGATGTTGAGCTGGGACAGTAGGCCAGAAGCCTGATTCGCGCCGTCGGTTTCGAGCAGACTCGCTGTCGCTGGATGGCTAAGCTGATTCTCTAGCCAGTGATGTATCCGCACGTAGCGATGTCTTAGCCAGTGATGTATTCGCTGGAGTTTGCATAACTCTAGCCAGGGGTGTGCAGTCGTCTCACTGCATCGACGATCTTACTTCGGGTCTCTTTTTTAAAGAAACTCTCAGCTGACACTGTGAACACACGGTGATCGTACAACAATTCTGAGTTCACTAGTGGATGCGCCAAAAAAATATTGATATGCCCGTGAATGGCCCCGTCCGTACTGGAGTTGCTTTTGAGAATGCTCGAAAGCCCCTCGGATAGAGGCGTCCATCCCCACTTGGTACGTCCGCAGATGGCCCTCTATAGGGGATGCTTCTGAGGACTCTAGATAGAAACGCCGATCCTCACTTGTTACGCCCATGAATGGCCGCGCCAATCTTGGTGTTGCCTTTAACGATTTCTTTATCTATCTAATTGGTACGCCGTGTGTGGCCGCGTCTCTCTATTGTTGTCTCTAAGCCACCAGGATGGAAGCCTCGATCCTCATTGATTCTCAATGGTACGTGGGAATCACTTTTGAGAATTATCAAAAGCGAGTCGATTGGAGTCTCTAAGCCACCAGAATGGAATCCTCGATCCCATTGGTACGTCTACGAATGATGGTCCCGTCTTCATGGCAGGCGGAAAACATTTTTTCAAGCGCCACAATGATTAAAAACGTCGATCCTCTTCTGGTACCCGTCTACGAATGGTCCCCTTTCCATGACAGGCGGAGGATCGCGAGGCGCAGAGGCGGATGGTGCGCGCGGCGGTGGAGCGATGGCGGAAGGAGCAGCGGGCGCGCGACAAGCGGGAGATGAACGAATCCATGCCGAACACGCAGCCGCCCAAAGGGGAGCGGTACCTGCTGGGCCCGAAGATTACCGGTGCGTGTCTGCCGCTGCGGGTCGATTTACGGGGCCTTTTCTATTTTTAATGCCTCAAGTCGTTTGAGGAGCCGCGATTAGGGGAACATTCCTGCTGCTCGAAAATAACCGGCAAGTGTCTTCGATTAGTCACTGCTATTACGCGTACTGGGCCGACTACCGCGCGAGAAATTGTGTTGAGCCATCAGATCGTCGCGCTGAGTTGTCAGACTGTTGCGCCGAGCTGTCATACTGCCACGCTGAGCTGTCAGACTGCTAAGCTGGCCTGTCCGCGCGGAGACCACGTGCGCGCAAGCGTCCGGGAGCAACGAGACGGGGCAGGAGGAGGGAGAGCGTGATGCTGATGATGACAACAATGTGAGGTCCCTTCGTGGATCGACTCAACGGTCTTCTCTTTTGCCCCGCTACCCTTCCCATTTCCCGTTCCGCCCCGCTCCCCCTTTTTTCCTTCCGGCGCTTTCTCCCCATCCCCTTCCCCACCTCCTCCCCCCTCCCTCCCCACGCGCAGACTGGGACGAGCAGCGCGCGGACTACGTGCGGAAGCACCCCGGATGCAACGAGACGCGGCAGGGCAAGCCGCGCGTGATGCTGGTGACGGGGTCGCAGCCGGGCGTGTGCGACAACGACGTGGGCGACTTTCTGCTGCTCAAGTCGCTCAAGAACAAGCTCGACTACTGCTCGCCGCGCGACATCCAGGTGAGGAGAGAGTTTACGGAGTAGGGAGTTGTTTCACTGCTGTATGTATCTATCAACCTAACTGCTGCTCAAGTCGCTCTAGAACAAGCTCGACTACTGCTCGCCGCGCGATATTCAGGTACGACGTGACTGTATCGAGCGCTCCTCGCTATGCGATATCCGTAGGGAGGTGACTGTATCGAGCGCTCCGCGCTAAGGGATACTGGGTTGAGGAGAAAAAGGTCAGTAGGGGATAGCGGGAGAGAAAATGGGAGAGTGGGGCAGAGAGACCACTGCTCGCCGCGGGACATCCATGTACGACGTGACTGTATCGAGCGCTGCTCGCCGTGGGCGAGCTGTCGAGGTGACTATACTGAAACTTCCATGGACTCGTTCCTGGCAGATCTACTACGGCACGGCCATCCTGGACCGTTCTATGCACTCGTTCTGGGTGAGGCTTCACCCACCACCCTCCCCCCCCCCCCCCCCCCCCCGCGTTTCCCTCCCGCACCCATTGTTCGCCACTCTCCTATCAGATCTACAGGACGTCCATTCTGGATTGCTCCATGGACACGTTCTGGGTGAATCACCCCTCCCCATCCTCCCTTTCTTCCACCTTGTCTTCCCCACTTGCTTATTTCCGCCACAGATCTACTACAGCACGGCCATTCTGGATCGCTCCGTGGACTTTCTCCCTTGACCCGTGTCCTCTCTCCCCTCCCTCCCATGCTCTCTCCCCTCCCTCCCTCCGATCGTCCTTACTCTCCTGGCAGATCTACTACAGCACGGCCATTCTGGATCGCTCGATGGACTCGTTCTGGGTGAAGCTGCCGCTTCTGCGCAAGCTGATGCTGTCCCACGCCGAGGTGGAGTGGTTCTGGTGGATGGACTCGGACGCTGTTTTCACAGGTGAGAGTGGGCATAGTGCGGTGCAATGCGGTGAAGTTGGTTTTAATAGTTGCTGGGAGGTGTCCATAAATGTTTCAGAGGGCAAGAAGCTGATGCTGTCGCACGCCGAGGTGGAGTGGTTCTGGTGGATGGACTTGGGCGCCGCGTTCACAGGTGAGAATGGGTGCAGTGCGATGCAATGCGGTGAAAGCTGGTTTGAAGAGGTTCTGGGAGATGTGTACAGAAAGTCTCAGAAGGCATAAGCTGATGCTGTCCCATGGCGAGAAAGTGTTTCTGGTGGATGGACTCAGACGCCGTGTTCACAGGTGAGAGTGGGTGCAGTGCGGTGTTCATGGGTGAGATTTGGTGTAGTGCGTTGCAGAGGGGTGCTGACTAATGGTAAGTTCTGGAGTGCAGGGGAAGCTGATGCTATCCAATGCCGAGGTGGAGTGGTTGTGGTGGATGGACTTTGATGCTGTGTTCACAGGTGAGGGTGGGTGCAGTGCAGTGAAAGCCGTTTTCAAACGGTGCTGGGAGGCGAGCTGATGCTGTCTCATGCCAAGGTGTAGTGGTTTTTTTGATAGAATGCGATGTTTGTGTTTTCAGGTGAGAGTGCGTTTAGTGCGGTGCAGTGCCGTGTAATCTGGTTAGACAAGGTGTTGGCATCCACAGCAGCTACGACCCTCGCCATCCCTCCCCACCACTTGTCATCCCTCGTCATCTCTCTTCACCCCTCGTCATCTTTCTCCATCCCCCCTACCTCCTGCAGACATGACGTTTGATGTGCCGTTTGAGAAGTATGAGCCACACGTTCACATGGTGATGCATGGAGTCTGATGCTCATGCTTTTGAGGCGCCTCAAAAGATGCACGGAGTCTGATGCTGATGTTGATGTTCTCTCCTCGCCACTCCTCCTTCCCCTCCCCACTTCCCCCACCCCAGACCTAACAGACATGACATTTGATGTACCGTTTGAGAAGTATGAGCCGCATGTCCACATGGTGATGCATGGAGTCTGATGCTCATGCTTTCGCCACGCCATCCCTCTCCTATCCCCTGCACCCCCCCACACACCCCAACAGACATGACGTTTGACGTTCCGTTTGAGAAGTACGAGCCAACCGTTCACATGGTGATGCATGGATACGACTCGCTGGTCTATGGCAAGGACTGGTGCGCTCACTAGACCCTGTGTGATTTTGGCATTGCCCACCCATCCCTGCATGGTGATGCATTGATATAACTCGCTTGTCATGCCATGCCATGCCATGCAATGCCATGCCATGCCATGCTCATGAGGCGTATCAAGCTCCTGACTTCTCTCTCGTGTCATTCTGTGTTTTCCATGCCGTACCACCATGCCGCACCATACCACATCATGCGATGCCATTCTCCGCCACTCCATGCCACATCATGCCATGCCATGTGCATCACAGGGTGGGGCTCAATGCTGGCATCTACCTTATCCGTAACTCACAGGTTAGTCACGGCCGCAGTCACCACCACCACCACCACCACCACCCACCCACCCACCCTCCTCTCCTGCTGATTGTTGGGTATTCTCGAGAATCTCCAAAATCACCACTAGCACCCTGCCCTCCTCCTCTTGAGCTCCATTCCCCTGTGCACATCGCTTTGCTTATACGTCCGTGTCTGCTTCTGGTTCATTTTGATGTGGAGGGGTCTGCCTTCGCTTGATATAAATCCTCCTCTCGTCCCTTCCTTTCGCATCTCCTTGCTCCCCGCCACTTCTCTCTTTCTCTCCCACAGTGGTCGCTTGACTTGAGGAAGGAATTGGTGTAGTTTGGCGTGAAGGAACCCGCCTTCTCCTGTTCTCATTCTTCTTCTCTACCTCCGTGTCGCATCCCCTTGCTCCCCTTCCCCTCGCTCTCTCCCACAGTGGTCGCTTGACTTGAGGGAGGAATCGGTGCAGTTTGTTTGTTCGCCTTCGCTTGTTCTTATTCTTGCTCCATACCCCCGCCTCACATCCCCCTCTCATTCCCCCCTCGTGCATCTCCTTGTTTTCCTTTCTCTCCCCTTCCTTCCTCCCCCAGTGGTCGCTTGACTTCATGGAGGACTTGGCGCAGTTTGGGGTGAAGGGGCCGATGAGGGACGCAGCAGGCGTGAAGCTCTTCAAAGAGCTCTCGGTAAGCCAACCCTTGTCCCTACCCACCCACTTGTAGGTGTTCTCTCAACCTATTTTCTCGCCTCTTTTTGAGACGTCTCAAAAACAACCTCATCACACGTGGCTCAACCTGTTTTCTCGCCTCACCTGCAGACCAGGCCCATGTTTGAGGGGGTTATTTTTGAGTCGACTCAAAAATGGGTGATGATCAGAGCGCCATAGTGTGGATGATGGCGTACCACCCAGAGAAGTACGCCAAGGGCATCTGCCTGGAGAGCTCAGGAGAGCGATGGTGTGGATGATGGCACAGTCTCCCTCTCTCTGCTGCAACTCCCACTCTCCCTCCGCTGTCTCTCTCCTCTCCTCTCTTGTCCTCTCCCCTCACCCTCCTTCCCTACTTCCCTCCTCGTTCCTCAGACCCGGCCCATGTTTGAGGGGGATGATCAGAGCGCCATAGTGTGGATGATGGCGTACCACCCGGAGAAGTACGCCAAGGGAATTTACCTCGAGAGCTCCTTCATGCTGCACTCCTTCTGGCCCACCATCACCCCGCAGTGAGTTAAAAGCAAGCGCGGTTGCTGTGTAATATAACGGGACAGGGAATGTGTGTGTGTGTGTGTGTGTGTGTGTGTGTGTGTGTGTGTGTGTGTGTGTGTGTGTGTGCGCGCGCGTGTGTGTGTGTGTGTGTGTGTGTGTGTATGTGTTTGTTAGCCAAGGGCATCCACTTGGAAAACTCCTTCTGGCCCACCGTCACTCCACAGTAAGGGTGCTAGTCTGTTAACCTGCCAGTTAACCGCCTCCCTCTGTTGATTGCATGCTATCGTTGCGAGCCTCTGTTTTTTTTTTCCCCGTTTGCAGCCACACCCTGTCCCCCTCTCCTTGCTCCTGGCAGCTACGAGGAGCTGATGGGCTAAGTACTATGCCGGGTATGTGAACACTGATGGCCGCTCTTGTAACCTATTCCCTTCCCCCACCCTCCACCCCCTTCCCCACCGCCTCATGACCACAACTACGAGGAGCTGATGGACAAGTACCACCCGGGGTACGGAGACCGCCGGTGGCTCTTGATGGCTGGCACACTAACCTTACCCTGTTACTCCACCCCCCATTCCACCCCCTCACACCCTGGCAGCTACGAGGAGCTGATGGACAAGTACCACCCGGGGTATGGCAATCAGTGGTGGCCCGCTCATCACTCCCTTACCTGTCTCACTCTTTTCGTCTCCTCCTTTTTGAGAATTCTCAAAAACCGTTTCGTCCCCTCCCCTTCCTCAACCCCTCTGCCAATGACAGCTACGAGGAGCTGATGGACAAGTACCACCCGGGGTACGGGGACCACCGGTGGCCTCTGATCACCCACTTTGTGGGGTGCAAGCCGTGCGGGAAGATCGGGCAGATTGAGTATGAGGAGACACAGCGATGCGTTGAGAACATGGAGAGGTAAGGAGAACATGGGTGTGTTGGGGGAAGGAGAGGAGTGTGCGTGGAGCAGGATTGCACTGCAAGTACGTGTAGCGAGGGTGTTTGAGAGGGTGTTTGAGACGTCTCAAAAACACCCTCACTACATATGGAGAACATGGGTGTGTTGGGTAGGTGGAGTGAGAGGCCTGTGGCTATATGGGGGAGATTGGGTGGCCATGTAGGGTGCAAGCTGTGCAGCAAGATTGAGTGAATTGAAGTAATAGGAGAAAGAGGTGTGCAGAGAAAGATGGAAAGAGGGTGTCATACTTTCTTGTTCTGTCGTTAATATCTGCCCCTTTTTTCCCCTGTTTGTCATTCTCAGGGCGTTCAACTTTGCGGACAACCAAGTGTTACGCAAATTTGGATACGAGCACCTTCATTTGGATACATTCCAAGTTGTGAAGATCAACTTTACTACGTACAAGGCGTCGGAGTTTGACTCGCATCCGCTCAAGAATAGACAGCTGGATTTCTAGAAATCCTTCACAATGGCAGGGTGTAGTTGCATCTTAGACATTAGCATCCAATCCTTCCTAGGGCGTAGGACTGACGAACAGTTTATTTCGATTCATTCTTCACAGTCTGATCCAAATAATTTTTAGCAGGTTTCATTGTTTTGTGCTAATGAATTTTAGGTAGCATTTAGCTGGGTTATCAATGGCCTAGACGGTTCTACTTATAGACGGCCACCTGATATCAGCACTCGGAAATGCGCCAGCCAAACGGAGAACGGGTACGTTGAAACTCTATTTCGCCATCGTCGTTGAAAGGGCGGGAAACGCGGCGTCCGTCACGATCCGTCATCAACCAACGCCACGTATGCGCCACATTTGCTGACTAAGCGGACCGTTCCGTCCCCCCGATGAGTTGTGCAGGGGGAGAAAAACCCACCAAAATTCAAAATTCCGCCCACTTCCCGAATCGCGGTGTCGACATTTTCCGCATTACCCAATTTCGCCCCTGCCTCAAATGATGGGCGATTGCAGTAGGTTTCCAGTATCAAACGTGAGGATTCCTCATAACTCGTTTCTCGTTGGTTTTCCGACTTGCATCTAAGGTGGTTTGTCAGAAGGAGTAGGCGCGACGTGCACAGAGAAAGGGGCGACGCCAGGCTCGTAGAAGCAGCTTTGACCATAATCCTGGAGAGAAACTGGCGAGATTCGCGAATCTTGAAACGTGCAACACGTCTGCCGCTAAGCTACCGAGCTGTCAGGAACACAGTGAAGCATAGTCGCTGCCATTTGAATCTGTGGTGCGTTTGACAACTGGTTACTGAGCCCGCTTTTACGGTTGCCAGCTGGCTACTTTCTGAACCCTCTTATTTCGAATCGGAGTGGCGTTGTTCTTCGCCTCTCACACACGTGCTCTGCCGCTTTTGACGCCAAAAAAACCCCAGCGCCCTACACGCTATGTACACAGCAGTGTGTCCTAATAGTCATAGTAGTATCTCTTCGACAAAATCTGTGACATAGCAATAGTATCTCCACGACACAAACGCTTCCCTAACAATCTCACCGCTCTCGTCAGACGAAGGTGTTCGAACCCTATAGGAAATATCGAGCAGCGAGGACTCTCGTTGATATGTTCGGTACAAGGTGACCCCTTATACGACTCAGAAATCTTTGAACGAAGGACGGACAGGAACAACTAGTTCCTTCTGCTGTTCTGATAACACGACACTCGTGTGTCGCTCTTTCTCCGGAACGACGTAACGAATATTTTATCTCCGGTAAGCGTGTTCGAAACTATTCACGGTTTTTATTACCGCAGCTCACGCATGGCCGCGATCCGCTCTCGAGCATATTCATCCCGTACTTACCGGAGGCGGGCAAAGTTGAGGCTCTGGGCGTACGCTGTGCTACTACTACTTATCGGGCTCGAACCCCGCCTGTCTGCAGCTGCATCTGCGCATGAATTTTTTATTAAAGCATCTTCCGTGCCGCATACGCCGCACGTGTCATTATCAGCAGCAGCAGCAGCATCGGGGCATGAGATCGAGCCGCGCCTGTCAACAGCTGCAGCGTCTGGGCATGAGGCCGTGCGAAACTCTCGCTCCCTCTCAACTGCCTTCAAAAGCATATCCGGTACAAACCGATCCGCTACCGCGTCCAAGCCACACGCTGCGCTAAAAAGCACGCCGCTGTTCCCGTCAATTCTCCGTGCGCTTGCGCAATTCTCCTTCGAGACGACTCGGTTCTCTCCGATACCCGGTTCGGTCGGCAACGTCGCGAATATAGCAGGAGTCGAGCCGCGGGAGGTCGATTCGCGGGAGTTGGCTAAGAGGTCTGAGGCTGCTTCGGACGCGTCGACAGGAGGATCTAACCGTCTCCGACATTCATCACATTCTCGTATTCGTGTCGCTAGAGAGTTAGAACCGGGAGCGACGGAGGCGGCGGCGGCGACGGCACTGGTCTCTCTATCACCCAGCAATCCTGATCTCTTCCCCACTATAGAATCTCCGATCGTAATCCTCAGCGGAACGTCGCCCTCCACGATCGCGACAATTGGACTGATCGACGACTCAGACGAGCCGCCGGCGGCGGCGGCGGGAGTCCAACGGCGGCGCGGCGGGAAATCGAACGCGCTTCCGTACCTCGCGTTCCTCGCCACCACTGGCCTTTCTTCGCTCATAAATCCACGCGGCTCCGCAACTTCCGGAACTTTTGCTAATCCCGCGACGGTCGCGGCATTTGAAGCGCCTCCACCACCGCTTGGTGCGCAGAAGCGCGCTGGCGGAACTCTGAGCGCTTCCACGACTTTGCCCGCACCCGCCTTTCCGCCAACGTCCGCAGCTTCCACGCCGAAGACCTCCGCGCCCGCCATGCCTTCCCCCGCCCCCGCTGGCACTGGTGGTTCGGGGGGTAGTGCGACTAAAACGAATTCTACTGGTGGCGGTGCAACCAGTGCGGGAACACCTAGCGGGGGGCCAACGGGGCGGGGAGCAACTGGTGGGGGAGCAAGTGGCGGGGAAGCAGCGAGCGGGGGAGCAGTGGGCGGGGGTGCAACGAGCAGCGGCAGCAGCGGTACCAGCAGCAGCAGCAGCAGCAGCAGCAGCAACAGCAGCAGCAGCAGCAGCAGCAGCAGCAGCAGCAGCAGCAGCAGCAGCAGCAGCAGCAGCAGCATGGACAGTAAAAGAAGTTCTAGCAGCATCGCAAGTAGTAACAGCCAGAGCAGCAGAGACAGTAGAGCCAGCAACAACAGTCAAAGCAGTCAGAACAGTCAAAGCAGTCAGAGCAGTCAGAGCAGTCAAAGCAGCCTGAGCAGTCAAAAGAGTCAGAACACTAACCTTACTGGTACCACCACCAACAATACAGCAGGCTCAGCTGTGCCTGGCAAAGTTACAGCCAGCAGCAGCGGCAACCCCAAGAAGCCTGTCACCAATCCCATTGCCCCCAATGCCACTCTGTCCGGAGCCCTGCCACCCAGCCCTCCTCCTGTCACCAGCAAGACAGCAGGTTCAACAACTGGGCAGGGAAACGGAACAGCCAGCGGCATCAGCAGCAGCAGCAGCAGCAGCAACCCCAAAAAGCCAGCTATCAATTCCACTGCCCCAAATGCCACTGTTTCCGGAGCCGGACCGCCCAGCCCTCCTCCTGTCACCAACAATGGCAACAGCAGCAGTAGTAGCAGCAGCAGCAGCAGCAGCGGCGGCAACACCGGCAGCAGCAGCGGCAGTGGCGGCGGCAGCGGCAGTGGCAGTAACAGTGGCAGCAGCAGCAACAGCGGCAGCAGCAGCAGCAGCAGTGGCAGCAGTGGCAGCAGCGGCAGCAGTGGCAGCAGCGGCAGCAGTGGCAGCAGCGGCAGCAGTGGCAGCAGTGGCAGCAGTGGCAGCAGCGGCATTGGCGGTGGTGGTGGCAGCAGCATCCCTGGAAAGCCGGTTGTCGAATCCAATGCTCCGAATGCCACTGTGGCTGGAGCTCTACCTCCCATCCCTCCTCCTGTCATCAGCAACAGCAGCAGCGGCAGTGGCAGCACCAGCAGCAGCGGCAACAGCGGCAGTGGCAGCACCAGCAGCAGCGGCAACAGTGGCAGTGGTGGCAGCGGCAGCAATGGCAACAGCACCATCAGCATCAGCAGCAGTGTGAGCATCAACAACAGCAGCGGGTTTGGCGTGGGACGTTGGGACTACCGAGCAGCAGCCACGTTCTATGGAGAACCCGATGCTACAGGAACCATGGGCGGCGCATGCGGTTACGGTAACCTGTACAACACCGGTTACGGCACCATGACAGCCGCAGCATCTATCGGAATCTTCAACGATGGTTTGCTCTGCGGCGCGTGTTACGAGGTGGAGTGTCTAGGATCGCCGGCTGTGCCGCCCGGGTTTAAAGTCTGCTCGGGAAAGCGCGTGATTATAACGATCACTAATCTGTGCCCGCCAGGCGGTAACGGCGTGTGTAACGCTCCGCATCGGCACCTGGATATGAGCGAACCAGCCTGGCAGGTGCTTTCCCCAATTCGAGCCGCGGGGATTCTTAAAACGCGGATGAGGCGCGTTCCCTGCAGAAAGAAGGGCGGAATAATATTTCTGATGACCGGAAACCCTTATTACTTGCAAGTTCTGGTGTATAATGTGGCGGGGGTTGGGAGTATATCCGGGTTTGAAGTGAACGACGGGAGTGGGATGGGTTGGGAGCGGTTCCAGCACAACTGGGGCGCGTATTACTCCAAGAGCAAGAAATACGGCGGGAGGTCTCTATCGTTCAGAGTAACTGCGAGCAACGGCGAGGTGCTGACGATTGTGAATGCTGTTCCTGCTAATTGGTCTCTTGGGGTGGCGTATCAAAGCAGACTCAACTTCAAAGCAAAGCCCAGAGTCCGACCTCCGCCACCACCACCACCATCGCCGCTGCCAGTGTCACAACCAGTGCTGCCACCAGCAGCACCAGGAGCACCACCAGCAGTTGCTGCTGTATCTGATGTGAAGCTTCTTCCTCCTGGGCAGCAGAAGGCAGCACCACCAGTAGCACCGAGCCAAGGAAATGGACCGCCTCCCGTATCACCAGAAGCACCCCCTCCTCCAAGCGCTCCACCTGTTGCACCCATTGACCAGCCTAGAGGATCCGGTTCTGCTTCAGTTACTCCCTCTCTACCAACAATCGGCTCTTCACCTCCCTCGGCTCCTCCTTCGAAAAGCGTTGGTGCTATGGGCACACTCACGCCAACACCATCAAATCAAGCGAGGCTAGAAACGTTAATGTCAGCGGGAACGGTGGATGAACCAGATTTTTACGGTGGAATGACACGAGAAGATAAATACCATGACCCGCTGTTTGACAGATATATCGATGTTACTGCTGGGTTGCATGTATGAAAAGGTGTGTTTGTACAATAACCAGCTATCTGTACTTACCGTACTACATGGGATTGTAAATAAGTGAATGTATCATCTCGACCTGATTCCCAACCAACGGGAAGTGAATCGGGACTCCCCAGCAAACCTTATTTGTTGACTCCCACAACTGGGGGAGGCGTTTCCCTTGGTCAAGCGGGGCAGCTCACCCCTTTTTTTGCCCAAACCTTCCACCTGTACCACAAAGAACCATTCGTCCTGTCTTTTAGGCCGGATCAATTCTGGGCGATTTGAGTTGACTTCCGCGTCGCGCTACCAAGTGAACGGGTGGCTGGTTACAACTTGGTCGCGCAACGATGGAGCGCGGATGATATGCAAGCTAGCCCCGCCCTTCAAATGTCCCCCTCCAAATGCTTCGCGGCCCGTTCCCGAGTCGTGAATTTCTCAAATTGGACATATAGCGGAGCCGCATGCGTCTTTGTCAGCAAACACACGAGCTTCAGCAACGTCTACCACAGGGAGAAGTTTTGAAGCGGGTTTGTGAATTTCGTCGATGCCTCCCAATTCCAACTCTAGAATTTCCATTTCGTGGTTGATGATTTTCCAAATGGCGGAAGGCGCACGGTCGAACCCGCTCATTCACACGAGTGCTAACACTAGAAGCTGTTGCGTGGTAATGGTTGGAAGCTTGACCTTTCTCGGAAACAAGCTATGAGCGCCCTTCCTTGAGGAACACTTAAATTCGCACCGTTTGGTACATCAACCGCAGTATTTAGGGCCAACTCAAGGCTATGCAAGGCCAGTTTCTAAACTCCGCACCAGCATAGCAGCCGCATCATAGTACGCGCTCCTCCTTCCATTACTACTAACCACGACTACATCGTGCCGTCCAGCTCTCATCGCTTCGGAAAGATAACACACAGCGACCATGAGTCCTCGCACAAGCACACTCGTCTCTCAAACAAGCTCGTTCGTCCCTCACACAAACTCGCTCCTGACCAGTGGCAGGCATGCTACCTTCCTGATAGCCCTCCCGCTCCTAGCAGTCTTCCTCGCGTCGCTTGCCGTCGCGCCTAGCGACGCGCACGTGCAGGTCACTCCGCCCGACCAAGTGCCTATCATGACGCAAAAAGACCTCCTTAAAGTCATCTCCAAATCCGAGAAGCAGCAAATCGAGGCGCAGATTCAATCCGCCCTTGCTAACTTCACCACCGATGGCGGAAACTCGGCGCGGAAAAAGGGGGGTCACAAGAGCAGAAACGGCAAGAAAAAAGGCCACAGAACCGGCAAGAAAGGACGGCACCACCCCTTGCGAGGCTCGGGAGCCGTTCTCGATTCCGCCCAGGTCAAGGGTTACGATGGCGAAAACGACTCTGGTGACGGAATCGGCGAGATTGTTACGCTGCCTACTGGCCCCGGCAGCAACGGCCCCGTTAAAGGCATGGCGCGCGCCCAAAGCGTTCTCCTTCAGCTGTCTTATATGGAGGCGACGCTCGGTACTGCGTCGAGGCGCGCGGAGGAGACGAGTTCTTGCGGGAAGTTGCTGTACCGGGCGCACTTTCAAATCCCCAAGGCAATTGAGCTGGCCGAGAAAGGCGCGCTGATTAAAGCGGGCTGGAAAGTCTCGTTTGCGCGGTCGCTTGTCGAGGAATGCCTTAATGCGGATCCGCACTCGTCGGTAGCGGAGCTCGCGGAGGCGGCGCGGACAGCGGCAAACCTGCTGATGCCGGACCTGAAGAAAAACGACAACGCCAACTGGCAGCGAATCCAATGGCTGAAAGATCGCGAGGTGGATCCGATCGACACCAACGGAGAAGCAGAGCCGTTGGATCCTCTGGAGATCGACTACTGCGAGAAATTTTCGGAAATCGACAGCAACAATGTCAAGATTCGGGTGGACACGTCAACCCCTTGCCGTGAGTTGCGGGCACTGCGTGGGCTCTGTGGGAGTAGCGCTGGTTATGCTGGAAAAAGAGGAAGACAGGAAGTAGGCTCTTCGTGTCCAAGTTCCCCCCTCCCCTCCTCCCTTCCCCGATAACCTTCTCCTCTTCGCCTACCTCCCCTCTTTCTTCCCCGCAGGCGGAAGCCGCTTGCGCTCAGACATGCAGTACCCGTCGGGCATCTTCGTCACTCTCCAATCTAGTTCCCCCGCTCTCCCCCTTCCCCTTCCCCTGGCCCCCCCCCTCCTTCTTCCCCGCAGGCGGAAGCCGCGTGCGCACGGACGTGCAGTACCCGTCGGGTATCTTCAGTGCGCGGATCAAGTGCCCTAAGGGGGACATCAGCGGCTTGGTTCAATCTTACTATGTACGTTCCGGTTGAGCCTCTTTTTTATCCTCGTTTTAAGGCGCCTCAAAGTACCCGTCGAGCATCTTCAGTGCGCGGATCAAGTGCCCTAAGGGGGACATCAGCGGACTGGTGCGATCCTACTATGTACGTTCTTTTTCTTACTCTCCCATTATACTCGTTACAAGGCGGTCAGGAGACTCGCAAGTGAGACAGCAGATGCTGAATTCTCTCGATGTCCCCTCCGACCTTCTTCCCTTTGCCGCGCTTCGTTAACGCGTTTTCGGAGCATTCAAGGTTACTTTTGAGTCGACTCAAAAGTCACCTCGTTTTCGGAGTTATCAAGGTTCGCCTTCCAACCCTCCCTGCTCCAATCCTCGCCCCCTCCCGCTGACGTCACTCTCGCGCCTTGCAGTTATCCTCGTTAGAAGGCAGCCGCGATCAGGACGAGATCGACTTCGAGTTCCTGGGAAAGGACAAATGGCAGGTGCAGACAAACTACTACGTGGACGGCAAGGGCGGGAGGGAGGTTTTGATCCCATTAGGGTTCGACTGCTCGTCGGACTTCCACGAATACGCCATGTTCTGGAACGAGAATCAAATCATGTAAGTGGATTCAAGAAGAGAGAGAGACAAAGAAAAGTTGAACAAAAATCCAACATCGTGTAGATGGAATTTTGGGTACCCTTGGCTTGACTCTTCGATCCTTCCATCCGCCGTTTCCCATTCTCTTTGCACTCCAGATGGCAAATTGATGGCAAGGTGGTGCGTGTGGCAAAGCGCAAGGACGGGGAGCCATACCCAGTGAAGCCCATGTATGCATACGCGTCCATCTGGGATGCGAGCTACGTGCTTGATGGGCGCTGGTCGGGCGACTGGCGTGGCTGGAACGAGCCCTACATTGGGTGAGTAATTTCCTAAAAGCAACACATCGCAGTATTGTATTGCTATGGTATGTATGCATGTAGATAGTGCCACTCGTGGCAACAGCATGTGCGCGTCCTTCACAGCCTTGCATTTTGTGGCATCGACGCAAGCATGGGCAGACTATCCTATCTCGGAACATGTCTCACTTCTCTGCTCGTTTGCTTGTCGAATCTGCCCACAGCGAGTACGAGGACTTGAAGGTCGTCTCACCTGCACCCGACGTCTCCTGGTAGCACGCATGGCATGGCATCGGCGTTGGGGATTAGAGAGGCGAAAGTGAGAGGAGACGCATGGGCAGCCTCTTTAGTTCAGATTATCTGCCGGGTATCTTGCACAGTACATGTAGTACACCGAATAAAGAGGAGCCACCAACCCAGGGCAAGCAGTGAATGGGGGAGCACAAGGTGCAGCTGCGGCTGGTGGAGGTATGTCCCAAGGAAAGTGCTGGAGCAGAAAGCAACGTGTGTGGAGTCAAGGTTCCAGGCATCCTATCCAAAGGCTCAGTGCAAGGTAGGAGCATCTTAGTTGCTAGGCAGGATTAGCATCCGTCCCTGCTGCGATGAAGAAAGGGGTTATAGCATAACCTAGTCGAGTCCTGAGGCATTCAGGCTGCTTGGAGTAGAAGGAAGCTAGGAAGAGAGTGTGCTGTGATTAGCACCCAACGATTTGCATTCGTCTGCACCCACCCATGACCTCCAATATGCCTAATGGAGGGTATTGATGGGCACCGTGTTGCTAAACTTCTTAGTGGACGTGAATGATATTTTCTGTGCATGTCTCGAGATTACAGCAACCCCTAGAGAAAAAAGGCTTTCAAGATGATGGAGCCCCCTTTACAGTACAGTGCATGATCATCAAGATAACACATATAAAGCCTTGAGAGAGGTTTCAGTTTCAGTGGTGGTTGCTGCCCTAGTTCTGCTCCATTTCGTTGCATGTTTTTTCTTGCACCTTCAGGCAAGAAACTTTCGAGACCTAAGTGGATTTCACAGCGAGTAATATGTATATAGTTGCAATGCATAGTTGTCATCTTTCTTAGACGAGAATAACTTTACATGATTCTGTCTATATCGCCCACAAGCGAAGGGATGAGGCCCGGAGTGCGAATTGGGTCCCGGTTCATTCGGTTGCCCCGCTACCCTCAACCAACCTTCAGGGCGTGTCAATTGCGCACGATTGCAGCTCATTTACAGCTCATCTGTCATGGTGCAAGAGCAGATCAAACGGTTCACAACGGTTTGCTTTCCTCGTTCCACACTTGACACTACACGATCAACCGGGTCGAATGAGCTGTAAACGCACGGGCCGCACTCGCCCAGCAAACATGCTACAGTAGAATTGGCCATCAGGTGTACACCCTTGGTTTCGGTCCAGCCCCTCTACTGTATGTCACCACCCCCATCCCACACCACGCCATTCGAGTGGTTGAGAACGCATATCGGACTTCCTAACAAGTGACTTCCTAACAAGTGTGGTCGTCGTTGAGCCAATGATGTTGGAGTCAGCAGCTCTGTGATTGGAGAGTCACAGTCGTAGAACAGTCGCAAGGCAGTCGCTTGTTAGGAAGTTGCTTGTTTGGAAGTGCCTGAAATGCGACCTGACATTCCCAAAGGGAGCAAGTACATCAAGCGGCTGGAGAGTTGTAGAACCTTTAACCGTACCAAAGCGCTCTTGAAACTATCATATCTACTCAAATCGTTCTGTTGTGGAGCGTCAGAGCCATTATTCAACGAGAGTAACAGGGGAGGAGAGGATGGATGGTGCAGTGTACACACGAACTTTGTCAGCCATTGTCCTCCCCTCCCACCTCCCCCACACACTCAACACACCTACTCTGCAGTGTTCGAGCATGCTTGTGGGGGCGTCACCTACCTCCGTCAGCCTTTCTCGTTGCGTGATCGCCCCTTGCTGGTCGTCTCCTGCTACGCATTCGTGGTCGTAGATTTTATTTACCTCTCGCAACTGCCGAGCTTCCCAATTTTTCTCTCGTCGCGTCCATCGGAGGCTCGTGATTAGCGCGCGAAGACCGGCAGTAAACGTTTCTAACTGACCAGCAACGAATAAATGACGTGATTCTTCGAGTCTTTTAACCGCAATCTACCATAACCTTTTAGCTCGTTTTTACTGCTTTTACTGCTTATCACAAATTCTTCGTAAATCGCCGGTCTCCACAGACGGTGCTCTGGCAAGCTGACTGGCGGGAGCGCTAACGGCGACGCGTCAATCCATTTCGCAACCGTGTGGCTCAATAGCTTCCTCTTTTGTTTTCGACTCAACAATCGCCAGGCGCCTTTCATTCCACGAATACCTGCGCGCTTTATTCCGAGTCGCGTCTGCTGAGTCTTCCGATGTCGTGCGATGGTGAGACGGTTTCGATCGATTCCCACTCATCCGGTAGTTACGGAGCTAAGTTATCGCGTTCCGGTGGCCGCAGATTAGAGCGCATACTATCCGCAGTTCATCAGTGTAAGTAAATCGCGCATACTATGGTGCAGCCGAAGGCAAACAACTATCAGATACCATAATATATTACCGCCAGTCAAATACGTCTACTCGTTAAAAGCAGCTAAATTCGGGGATCCTAACTGGGTGTTGGTACCATGGCGAAGGTTGCGGATCTTATCGTGGGGCTCGGCATTTCTCACAGGACTGAGTTGTTACTCGCTTACAGCCCGTTTGGCGAATTCAGCGAACTCCTTCGCGAAACGCTTAAGAAGGTTCCTCCCAACATGCAGTGGTTCTCCTGGGTATGTCAGCTCGCCGTGTCTCTTGCGTTGACTCTTGCCTGGATTGTGTAACGGCCCACCTAATTTCATTTCATTCGCTTGTTCGTAATTTCATTCTTCCTCCATTTTCGCCTTTAACCTAACTTTGCTGGCCCTTCTTCCGCGCGTGTTTTCTCTCTCTCTCTCTCTCTCTCTCTCTCTCTCTCTCTCTCTCTCTCTCTCTCTCTCTCTCTCTCTCTCTCTCTCTCTCTCTCTCTCTCTCTCTCTCTCTCTCTCTCTCTCTCTCTCTGATTCCTGCGTGTCCCTTTTCCTGGTCCTCTATTTTGCCAATCTAATCAACATGAATTCTTTGAATTCCACTGGCGGGACGCAATTTCGAGCACAGACGAAACTTCTCTAGCCCCTGTCGAACCTGCTTATGTACATGAACGACTGGTGTTACTGGTTGCATGCGTACATACACTTACGCATCGCAGTATCTGATCGTATGGGATAATGTGATGCATACACGCGTGGGGAATGAAAGCCGCACTTCTGAAACCCCCTTCTCTCTCCCCCCCCCTTCTCCTCCTCTCCCCTCCACCCCTCCCGCCCCCCAACCCCCCTTCTTTCTTTCCATGTCTGCAGCGATTCGACCAAGTGATTTTCCTACTCCAAGGGACATTTTCTTTTGAGTCGACTCAAAAGTCACCCCAACCCCCCTTCACTCTTTCCATGTCTGCAGCGATTCGACCAAGTGATTTTCCTACTCCAAGGGACATTTTCCATTACGCAAATGAGTGCTTCGCTTCAAAACCCTTTCTGCTCTTGCCCCCTGCACCACCCCCCCCCCCCCCCCCCCCCCCCCCCCTCTCCTGCCCACCCCGTCTCCATGAATGCGGCGCTTTGACCAAATGATTCTCCTCTTCCACATCTACCAAGGCGACATATTCTCCATAGCCGCATATGAACGCTTCACTCCTTCTAAACCTCTTTCTGCACTTGCCCCTGCACTTGCCCCTGCACCCTCTACCCCCCTCCCCTTACCATTCCTCCCCCCCTTCTCCCTCCCAAAACCACCTTTCCTGTCCTTGTCTACAGGGCTTTGATCAAGTCATGTTCCTATTCCACGTCTACCAAGGTTACATATTCTCCATAGCCGCATCGGAGTGCTTCACTCCCTATAAACCTCTTTCTGCACTTGCCCCTGCACCCTCTCCCCCCAACCCTCTCCTCCCCCCTACCCCCCCTCTTCCTCCCCCAACCTCCTATCCCTTTCATGTCTACAGGGCTTTGACCAAGTCATGTTCCTATGCCACATCTACCAAGTCTACATATTCTTCATAGCCGCATACGAGTGCTTCACTCTTTTGGTAAACTCATTTGCGTTTGCACGCCCCCCGCTTTCCCCCTTCCTCCCAACCATCTTTCTTCTCCATGTCTGCAGGGCTTTGATCAAGTCATGTTCCTGTTCCACATCTACCAAGGCTACATATTCTCCATAGCGGCATACGAGTGCTTCACCCGCAAAGAAGCTCGCAGCAAACTCACAGCCCTCCGCAACCTCTTCCTCTCCTCCGCCTCCATCCCTTCCCCTCCCACAAAACCTTCTGACCTGTCCAAAGCTGCCCGCGAAACCCTCGAAACGGCCATGAAATCGTGGGTGGTGAATTCCCGAGGGGTGGTCCCGGCTCGACTCATCCTGATCCTCCATCCAGGTGCCCCAAAGAAATTCCTAACCAAGGAAGACCAAGCTCCGGATTTCGTACAGGCAGCAGAAGGCAGCGGCACGGCTCGTCTCAAAAGCGCACTGGAAGAAATCGATGAGAACGATGACGATTTTGTCTTCACCATTCGCAAGCCCGGGACCGGGAACAACGGGACCGGCGACGACGACGACGGTGAGGATTTTGTCTTCAACATTCCGAAGAAGATCGTGCAGGCAGTTGCAGCCCCCATTATCTTCACCAGCCCGCATCCCAGACAGACGCCTGGATTCGGCCAGGGGCCTGCAGGTGCTGGTGGGAACAGCGGGAGCAGCAACCGGGTTCCCTCAGGACAACAGTCCGGGCGAAAAAGCCCTGCCATGTCCGGCGCTAAGGTCTCCCCCGAGGATGCTGCAGCAGGAGGAGGGGGAGAGGGAGGGGGAGGCGAGGGGGCGCCTGCTCAGAGCGGGCTGATAGCCAGAGCCAGAGCCGCGTGGTCCGTGCAGGTGGGGCGGTCGGGGGGTAAGGACGGGGGCGGGACGTGGGAGGGGGAGAAGATTCGCGGGCAAGTGGGGAATTTGGCCCCGTCTGGGCTGACCTGGGAGGAGGAGATTGCGTCGCAGCTGGCGGCGGTAGGGGTGCTGGTGGGGCCGGCGAAGGCCCAGGCCATGGCTGCTGCGGCCGCTGCTGTGAAGGAAGGGAAGGGCGGCGGGGGGGATGGGTCTGGCGGCGGTGCTGCTGGGGGGGGCGGGGGAGCGGGGGCCGGAGGAGGAGCGGCAGGGGCAGGGGCAGGGGCAGGGGGGGGGGCAGCCGGAGGCGCAGGAGGAGGAGGAGGAGCAGCAGTTGCTACAACTCCTAGAAGCAGGCTGAATCAGCCGCCCATCGATCACGCACGCTCCTTCTCCACTGCAGGGTCCGGGACTGGGTTTGGCATGCAGGGTTCGCGGCTGATAGACCGGGTGTATGTGGGTATGCCCGCACAGGCGGCCGGGAGGATTTTTGCGCGCAACACGTCCATGCCCAATGGCGGGCGGCCAGCTGGTGGCGCGATCGGAGCAGGGATTGGCGGGGGCCTGGGGCGGCTCGCTAGGGGGCTGAAGAAGACGTTTAACCTGCAGAGCAGTCATGATAAGCTGATTGGTTGAGGTGTTGGGGGAATTGGTGGCGCACGCAAGGAGTCATGCAGGGCTGCATGCAGCCCTGGGCGGGGGCCAGGGGAGGCTGGCTAGGGGGCTGAAGAAGATGTTTAACCTGCAGAGCAGTCATGATAAGCTGATTGGTTGAGGTGGTGGGGGGATCGGCGACTTAGGCAGCGACACCAAGGTGTGGGGGGCTGGGCAGGCTGGCTAGAGGGCTCAAGACAAGAAGACGTTCAACCTGCAGAGCAGTCATGATAAGCTGATTGGTTGAGGTGTTGGGGGCTTTGGAGGGTCAGCAGTTGATGATGCAGAGTAATGGGGGGGGTTGGAGGGGTGGTGAGGGGTTGAAGGAGAGAAAAGGTTCAACCTACAGAGCAGTCATGACAAGCTGATTGGTTGGGGTGTTGGGGGCTGTGGAAGGTCTGCAGTTAATGATGCAGGCAGAGTATTGGGCGGGGTTGGAGGGGTGGTGAGGGGTTGAAGGAGAGAAGAGGTTCAACCTACAGAGCAGTCATGACAAGCTGATTGGCTAAGCTGTTTGGGGTTTGGTGGCCCAGACAGCGGCGGAAAGTTTTGTGTGAGGGGAGTGGAGGGTTAGTGAGGGTTAAAGAAGACGTTTTAGCTGCAGAGCGGCCATGACAAGCTGATTGGGTGACTTGATTATATTCTAGAGCGTGGTGGTGGGATGAGTAGATTCGGATTTATTTGAGGTGGTTCAGAGGGTGTAGCAATGGTTTTTGGTGGGCTGGAAGGTTGGGTTGGGAGGCTGATGAGGGGGCTGTTGGTGGCGTTTGCTGTGCAGAGAAGCCATGATAAAGTGATTGGGTGGTTTGCTTGCAGAGGTGATGTCTTGAGGCGGCTCAGGAGCTAATGCAGAGTCTGGTTTGGGGCTTGGTTTGGTTCAGTTGTTGGAGTGTTTGTGGTGTCAAGGACTCGTTAAAAGCTTAAGAAACATGCCAGTCAGTCAGCCGAGGTGCTGCTACATGCTGCTGGATTTAATTACGGTATACTTTTTGATCCGCTGATGCAGCACATGCCTAATGTGCTTGGTCAGTGGAAACTGTCGTGATTTGATTGGCTGATTTGTCAAGAAGTGGATAAGGGTGGGTGGAGGAGGAAAGGGGAGAAAGGAGGTTGTGTGGGCTTATACTACCCAGTGGAAGGCAGAAGGTTGCTGTGCTGGTAGAGCAGCTTTGACGAACATCAGTGCTTGAGGAGGGACCACGAGAAACAGTAAATGCGGCTACTGCAGGACAACTGCAGGCACAAGGCGACATCAGGAAGGAATGAGCTGGTTGCTCGGCAGTGTTTGGAAAACAAATGGGATACTACCATATCAAGTAGCGATCAATCAGCCAGCCACGCCTTGTCACTGGTGCATTTTGACAGTCACTTAAAGTGTTTGTTTGGCTACACGTAATAAAGGCTAGTCAGTTTTGATTAAGTTGATAGGGGTGTGACCGTAGTGGGATGCTGGTGTTTGTCAATGGATGTAACATTGGCTTTTGTTGCATGTGTATGCTTACAATCTACACCGAATCCATATTATGAATGGTGACGTGGAACATCTACATGTCGGCTTATCAACGTGGCGGCAGCCAGCGCCCGCGCGTCTCCGTTTCGCTGGATTCCCGTCCCCAAGCCGGGCCCCTTGAGAATTGCAGCCACACAAGTAACCAGGGAGCTCTTGGGAAAAGCGACCCGCTGCCCGTGCGCAATCCCTGAAGCTCCTCGGCCAATCAGATGCCCATATGCTTCTCTTGCTTGTTTCGCTGACCGCGGCGGTCATGCTGGGATATTCACGCTGCCACGCGGCGTTGGCAGACAGGCGGCTCCGAAAATTTCCTGGAACGACGGAGGGGACTGGCTGAACCATGCCATGTCGACCTTCAGGAATTTGTTGGCCAGCATTCGGGCACCACTTATGTTTGATCAAAGGCTGCAACTGGGCAGCCCGAAGCGTGCTTCTGGAGTGAGACAAGTCATGACATTTTGAAACCTGCCCCAGAAAGTAATCTCGAGGCCACGTCCCCCTATGACTCCTTGCCTTGCTTCTCGTTAGCATCCGCTTTTCTGAACTGGCCTTTGCTCCGTAAATATCGAAACCCATCCTACATTATCTTTCTTTCCTAATTTCTGTGCCTCGATCATCGAGGTTCTCGCAGTCTCTGTTTCAGCTCAAGCTTCGCCCTTGTGCTCCGAGTCTCCGGAGCTTACCTTACGTGGTATCAGTAGCAAGGATAATTGCACGAGTGAAGGAGTGGCTGTGTGCTTCTAGACATCTGCCGCTGTTCTAACACCCTGAAAGTCGTCACTCGAGCTTCACAAAGAGGCTGTGCTGAAACCCTTTTCTGAAAGTTTCACCGTGGCTTCACGCCAATTAATTCTCCTCCACCGTCGCAGCCGCGCAGCGATGGCAGTCGCCTCATCCGCTGCGACCACGACGGCGATCGCTTCACGGGGAGCGTCCGTCGCATCACGGGGCCTTTCCCGCGCCGCCACCTCCATAGAAGCCACTCAGGGAGCCATGCTGGCCGCAAACAACGCCGTTACTCACGGCGCGCACGCTCCCGGCTCCTTCACCTGCCTGCAATGGTCGTCAACTCTTAGAAGCCAGTCAGGACGGGGAAGTCCCTTTTCTAGTTCATCTTTCTTCTCCGGCGGTCTCGCTCGGGACTCGCTTTTGTTATCATCGCATCCAGGCGGAGTTGCGTCGCGTCTCGCGTCTACACTTTCCGCGCACGCGTCTTCCTCCGACTCCGCCGCGAGCGCAAGCCCTATCGGTTCCGCCTCCACCCCCCGCTCCGCTGTCGCTGGCGCAACTCCCGCCGTCCGCCAGGGCGCAGTGTTGCCGACGTCGGAGTACACTCTCGACGAGTCTTCCGAATCCTCGTCGTCCGATTCTGAATCCGACGGCTCTGGTTCACGCGCGCTCGAGGCGCTGTACCAGGCGCGCGCTAAGAGCGGCGGCGCACCTGCAGGTTCAGGGCTTGGGCGGGAGTTTCCTCGGGGTTTAACATCCGATTCGGAAGCGGAGGTTTTTGATAGTGAGGAAGAGGCAAGCAGCGACGAGGAGGGGGAGGTGGTGTTGGTTGACGTGTCCGATTCTGACGTGGACAGGGATGAGCTGGCGATTGAAAGCCTTGGCCTCGCGACGATTATTGAGCAGTCGCTACTGAAGCGAGGAATCTCACGGCTATTCCCCATTCAGGTATGAGCCAGTGGTTTATGTACTTTTGAGGTGAGTCAAAACCTAGCTTTGTCCAGGTTTCCGTCTCGGGTTGGATCGTTTTCATTCGTCGTATTTCCGTTGCTCGTCTGCTTCCATCCAGTTGCGGCTGCGAGGGTTTGAAGGTTTTGAGGATAAGCGCCTTTCACGGTGCCTGATAGTGTGCTGCCGACAGTTCGTGGTTTCCCGGCGCTCGATAGTGTTCCTCATCTTCCCCTTTCCCCCTCCTCTCCCCCCCCCCCCCCCCCCCCCCCCCCCCCCCCCTCCCTCTCTTCCCTCTCCCCGCCCCTCCCCATTTTTTACCCCTATGCTCCGCCAATGGCAGCACGCGGTGCTGGCGCCGTCGATGGAGGGGCGCGACATCATTGCGCGCGCCAAGACGGGCACGGGGAAGACCCTCGCGTTCGGCATTCCCATCCTGGAGCGTATCACGCGCGAGATCGAGGAGAACAACGGCAGGTGCGTGTTATGAGATGTCATGAGGTCCGTGATTTGTGTTTTCTTAGGGTTCATGTTGTTTAGACGGCTCAAGGCGCGCCCATGCGGCATTCTCTTTTTGGAGCGCTTCTCACGCGAGATCGAGGATGACAACGGCAAGTGCGTGTTTATTCTCTTAGCGCTTCTCAAGGCGCGTGTTTGAAGTCTGTCTCGTGTGGAATACACACCCTGATTGGTTTAGAACATGTATGAAAAACGATGTACGTCATTTGAGAGGAAGTATCGCACGTTTCACGTCAATTTTTGTACTGCGATAGAGATCGACTTTTGAGACGTCTCAAAAGTCGTTGTTTCATCAAGAAGCGAACGCGTGAAAGGACTGACGGAAAAAAAGAATAGTTGTTGCGTTTTTTGACGCGCCTGGAAATTCTCTCCTGGTGGCTGCGTTTTTTCTTGAGGCGTCTAAAGAACTGAATTAGTTAAGTTAATGCAAAGTCACCAAAGTAGCGTGTCTAGGAGATTATCACCATCCTCTCCCCTCGTCTCCTCCCTAACATGCAGGTAAGCGAGTTACTCCGTCTCCATTCTATCCCAACCTGCGCTCCCTTTATCTCCCCTACGCCCTCTTGGCCCTCTCCCATCACCAACCCCTCCCTCTCTTTCCCTTCCCCCCCTCCCCACTCCCCCCTCCCTCCTCCCTCCCACCCCCTCCCCACCCTCCCACTTCCCCCACCCCCCTCCCCCCCTCTCCCCTCTTCTTTCCTCTTCCTTTGTCCTCCTGCACTTTCCCATCGCCCCTCACCCGCCCGCAGGCGCCCGTTCCGCGCGCCGCGCTGCCTGGTCCTCGCGCCGACGCGCGAGCTAGCGAAGCAAGTAGAGCGCGAGTTCTGCGAGTCGGCGGCGGCGGCGCCCAACCTTTCTACTGCCTGCGTGTACGGCGGCGTGTTTATTGAGGCCCAGATGCGCCAACTGAAGCGCCCTCGTTCTTATATACATTCCCCCGCCCTCGGCCCCTTTCCCCTCCACCGCTGCTCCTCCCCCCCCGCTCGACCCCTTCCCCCTTTCCCCCAGGCGCCCGTTCCGCGCGCCGCGCTGCCTGGTCCTCGCGCCGACGCGCGAGCTAGCGAAGCAGGTGGAGCGCGAGTTCTGCGAGTCCGCGCCCAACCTCTCCACTGCCTGCGTGTACGGCGGAGTCTCCATCGAGGCCCAGATGCGCCAACTGAAACGCGGCGTGGACGTGGTCGTGGGCACGCCCGGGCGACTGATTGATCTGATCGAGCGCGGCACGCTGAGCCTGCGCGAGATTCAGTTCATGGTGCTGGACGAGGCGGACCAGATG